CCCAACCCCAACCCCAACCCCAACCCCAACCCCAACCCCAACCCCAACCCCAACCCCAACCCCAACCCCAACCCCAACCCCAACCCCAACCCCAACCCCAACCCCAACCCCAACCCCAACCCCAACCCCAACCCCAACCCCAACCCCAACCCCAACCCCAACCCCAACCCCAACCCCAACCCCAACCCCAACCCCAACCCCAACCCCAACCCCAACCCCAACCCCAACCCCAACCCCAACCCCAACCCCAACCCCAACCCCAACCCCAACCCCAACCCCAACCCCAACCCCAACCCCAACCCCAACCCCAACCCCAACCCCAACCCCAACCCCAACCCCAACCCCAACCCCAATTAAATAGTATTTTTTGTAATTATTTATTTATAAATCTTTATTATATTGGAATTTTTTAATTTACATTTTACTAAATCAAATTAGTTAATATAGATAAATATTTATAGATGTCATTAACTAATAAAAGTTTTCTGAAATTTCTTTAAATAAATTTATTCGAAATATATTGCTTTTATTCAGATTATGAAGAACAAATTAAATAGATAAAAATATGTTCAAGCTTAGAAATTAAAATACCAGAAAAAAATTACATTTAATTGCTTATTTAATTTGATTATATTTTTTTATTAAATAATTTAGATTAAAAATAATTTGTTCTTCTTGTTATTTAATTTAAAAAACCCTCTTTTTTCTTTTTATGGTAAATTTTTATTTTGAAATTCACTGTTAAATTCTTAAAAACCATAAATAATTCAAGTTGGCATTACTAATTTTTCTATATGATTTTATTAATTTTTAAATCTAAAACCATCTAAAAGTATTGTGATAAATTGTGAATATTATTTTTAGGCATCAAATTTAATATATACTGTCATAGACTTGAATTTGCAGACAACTTGTTACCTACTTTTTGAATTTTTGGATCAGAATTTATAGGTTTAAAAAAATCATTTAAGTAATTTATTTTGAGAAATCTAAATTTTTATTTTGATTTTTAAATTTGGTAAGTCTAAAATTTTCAAACAACTTAAAAATATAAAATTTGATTCTTAGCTTTTTCTCTCTATTAATATACATGTTAAATATTATTAGTATTAGGTATTTATATAAAAGCTTTATTTAAGCTGGAAAAGCAGTAAGATTCAGGATTAGAGAATATAGTCCATTAATTTAATCAATCTATCAATTTATTATTTGATATAAAGAAGAATACTTTTTGATTTAATTTGATTATCAATCAAAGATAGATCTTATTTGATTATTGCATTTTAATTAATAAAAATTTTTCAAATTATAATTTAAGTACTTTCTCATATAAAATGTCTTAGATTCTACAAGACAACACATATGAATTAAAATATGGAAGTGACTTGTTATAGCAAGTTTAATTTTTAAATGTGATTGGATAAGGAAATAGTGTTGTCTATGAAGTATATCATTAAGTACAAAATAAAAATATGGCACTTAAAGAAATAATTCTTTAATCTTAGGAAGATGAATAATACATCAAAGATGAGTAATAAATGCTTAAATTTTTATCTGTTGAATAGCAAAATAGCTATTTCATTAAGTATGAAGATTTTTGCTTTGTTAAAGTAATCGTAAATGAGTATATTGAACATAATGTAGCTTATCTCTTGATGGAGAAGGCTTCAATAAGCCTAAGTTCTTTTGTAGACTTACGCATAAAAAAAAACATTCCATTTTCAATTGAAGAAATCGTTTTTATTTCTGAAGAGTGTATTAATGCTTTTACTTGTCTTTAAGAATATAAAATAGCTCACTCTGATATCAAACCTGAAAATATTTTGCTAGATTTCTTTCCTCAAGAATAAAATTTTTAGAATTCACTCAATCATATTGGTGAAAAGTTGAGCGAAGGAACAATTATTGATTAAAAATTTTAAAATACAAAAAATACTTATGTAAATTAAAATATAAACGATAAAAAATACTAAAAAGTAGATTTAAATTAACAACTAGCCTAAAAAAATTAAATTAGTAATTAAAGTATTTAACAGAAATCAATTGCAATAATTGATGACTCAAATAAAGAACTTAGCCCTAATATTACCTTGAGTAGTTTTACCTGTAGAATAAAAATATGTGATATTGGGAGTGCAATAAAAAATAATTCAAGTGGAGAGGGGAACAGCGTTTAATTACATCGAATAGAAGGGACAATACCTTTTCTTGCTCCAGAGTTGTTTAAAAAGTATATTAAAAAGGAGGTAACAGCTCTTTATAATCCTTATAAAAGTGATGTATTCAGTCTTGGATTGTGTATTTTATTTCTTATAATTTAATAAAGATTTTACAAATAAAATCGTATATACATGGAGGATACTGCCTACAGTGAAATTATATAAGAATGGATTATGTATGCAAAGTAAATTACACATTTCAATAGTTTGATTTCGGATGTTCTTGATAATACACTTCAAATATAATATGAAAACAGACCTGATTTTTTATAGTTGAATAAATTATTTTAAGAAAAGATGAAAGAAGAAAATGCAAGAAGAAAAAGACTTAGAGACAGGATCAATTTAAATTCATTTTAAAATATGGATCTAAATGAAATAGAAAGCTTTAGCCCTAATAAACTAAGAAGTGAAAGAATTTCTAAAAATAAATCCCCTCAAAAAAATTAATCTATTCATGTAAATGGAATTGGTAACAAGTCAAGCTCAACTCAATATGAAAATTTTAAGAAAGCTGAGTTGAGTTAAAACAGTAAGAAAACTACAGCAACAGCAACAACCAAATATTCAATAGATTATATAAATTCCACTATAGATACAGACATTAAATCAAGATAATAAATTACTCCAAATTATAGATAATAGTAAGTTTCAGTAAAAGAGGCTGATTTGTCTATTTCTATTTTTGAATAAACAGGAGAAATTAACTAAGTAAATGCAAAAATCTAAATTATTTCAACCAAAAGAGGTAAAAGTGCAAAGAGAGCTAAAAGTACGTTAAGTAAACAGTAAGATAAAAAACCATAAGTGTAAAAGTAATTTTTAGAGTAGTAATAGCCAATTTTATAGATGCAAAACACCAAATAAAAAACTTTAGCTTCTGAAAATAACAAACCAAGTTTATTAAATAAAATAGATTTGTAAAGAAAGTCAAGTATTACCGCTAATACTATTGATTTCAATATATAACCAAGCTAAGACAGCCATGATCAGGTAAAATAAGGAAAATTAATTAAACTACCTTCGATTAATAAATAGTCATCAAACTCTGGTTTTAATTAAACAAATCTTCCATAAATTAACAACTAGTCTAAGAATTCTATTTCTGCAGCAAACAGTTTAAATAAAGCTGAAATAAATTTATTGCCACCAAGAAAAAAGACACAAGAATTTGATTAAAAAAATAATATAATTTTGATTTAAAATAGTGACTAAATTAAATAATAGAATAATGCAAATAATAACACTAAAAAAAGTGAATATAGTAAAAGCGATCAAAATAAGGATCCAATAAAAAATAACAATTACAAATAATTAGTAGTTGATACTAACAAAGATTAATTTAAAAAAACATCTCTGATAAGTTCAAACTTAAATAATATGTAAATTCCTTAGAAAAGTTTTTAAATTTCTTAAACAGCTGGAATGGAAAAAATAAAACAATAATTGATACAAAAGTAAAATTAAAGGATTAAAACCGAGAATTCAATCATAAGCACAAATAAGGCAGAGTAAAATATAGAGTAAGTTTAACTAATTGTCATAAGCTCAATAGAGCAAATGAGGAATGAGTATGAAGAAATAAATAATTTACCTTTGAATTTAAAAGCTAAAAAATACTTAAAAATTATTTTATCTGATATTCCATCTTCTATTTAGATTCTAAGATTGCTTAAATGCATAAATGAAATTAAAAACATTGAGTTTGTATTAAATTTTTCATTAGAAAGTGTGAGAGGAGATGCTGAAAGTCCTTGCTTATTTAAAAATCAAAGTTCATCTCCAACAACTAAAATTGATTAGCCTTAATTATAAAATAAATAACTTAGTGTTTAGAGCAATGTTTAAATCCCAAATTAGCAGCCTAATGAATTAAATTCATTTAATAAGCTAAATTTTTTAAAAACTTACTCAAATATTGAAAAGGTTGATAAAGACTAAGCTACTGCAAATCTAAAGAATAAATTTAATCTTAGCAATTTTAATTTTAATAATAATAACAACAAATAAAGCACAATTTAGCAAAGGAGTTAGAGCAGATCAAATAGGAGCATTATAATTTAATAAAGAAAGATGAATACTTCTAAGAACAAGTCTTTTTCAAACGATAACTTGGATAGTTCTTTCAGTTCTTCTTAAGGAAATCATAGTAATAAATAAAACCCTAATGATCTAAGTGTATCTATAATAGAAGAATAGCTATGGAAAGCTTCAGAAGTATATAAATTGCTCATTGAAGTTCTTATATAGTTTAAATAATTAGATCAGTTAACAATTTTATTCAAAAATTTTATTGATTAAGGCGATGAAAAGTACTTTATCGAAAATCTACAGAAAATATCCATGGATTAATAATTTACTATAAAACATATCCATATAGGAATTAATCATTTGGATAAAGAAATAACTTATTTTTTTGAATATGTTAAGCTTATAATACAGAAAAGTCAAAGGGTACTTGAAACGCTAAGTTTAAACTTAAAGGGATAACTAGCAAATTAAAATATAAAATTAAGAAATACTCCATTAATTTAATTTATTTAAAACTTAAAATCATATTCTCTACTTAAAAGTATAAAATTAAATCTAGCAAAAAATAAACTCAAGAGGGAGTTTGTGATTGAATTTTTTGAAACAACTAAATAATTTGAAAATTTAAAAGAATTAACAATAAATTTTGGATTTAATCAGATTTGTTTTCCTTAATTCTAAATTTTAAGTATAAATTAGAGATTAAATACTCTTTATTTGAATTTTGAGAATAATTAATTATAAGATGGAATACCTTCTTTAGCAAAGCAACTTCCAAATTGTACTTAAATGAAGTAGCTAACTCTTAATTTTAGGTAAAACATTTCTACATCTAATGATCACATAATATTTTTGCTAAGCTGCTTAAAGAATATGCAAATAGTAACTTTTAATTTAAATATTTCAGATAATTCAGAAATAAATGATTAATTATTTTGGAAAATATAAAATTTGGATGATTTATCTTCATGGATATGCTCAGACTTATAGTTTAATATAAAAAATGTGCATGTAGGTATGCCATCAATTGTCAGTATTTTAGAATATCTTAAAAAGCACACTAGATCCTTCCATTCTATTACATGTACAGTTTTAAGAAGATATTCATTAGAATAAGTTAAAGATTTAATTTCAAGTTACGATTTCTTGAATCATTATAATTTAAATATAATGAAGATATCACAGAGTCATTTTTAATTTATTCTCTCTCTTAAATAATTTAGTGATTTTTCAAACAGCAGTTCAAAATCCTTATTAAAATAAGTAATTTAATTTCATTTTTATAATTAATTATTCCTAATTTAAATAAAAACATTTAGTTTAACTTTTAGAACAAAAGTAAATTTTAAACTCAAATTATATCTATTTAAAGAAAATTTAAACAATCCCTGATGTCCTGTGTGAGTTTTTTCAATAAAATCATGGCTAAAAGAAGATGTATAGATGTCTCACTTGTGAAAATGATAGCTAATTAAAAGATTATGTTTAATATGATACATCAATTTGGAAATATTGCAAATAATGTATATATGTATGCCACAGAAGTCATGAGTTTATTGAATTAGCTTCATGCTTTGAAGAAAAGGAATAATGTGTATGCTCTTTTAGCAATAATTCTAAATGCCTTCTCTAAAATGTCAAATATAAATGCACGAGCTAACTTGGAAAAAATATATTTTAGCAAGCTTTTAAGTAAGTTTATTTCCATACCTCTTTTTTTTTTAAGTATTAATTTATATAGGTGTTATGATTGCAGCTAAAACAATTCAGAAACATACATTTGCTAATGCTGCATAGAACCTTGCCATAAAGATCATTTTGTATAATTTCATTCTATAAGATTTTTTGACTGCTAATGTGGAAAGAAGCATTGAGGATAAAATTTATCTTACACTTTAATTAAAAATAATAAATTTTATAATAAAATTATTAAATTAAATAGTTTATTCAGTAAATAAATTGTTATTATATACTAAAAGCATGTTTATTTATGCAAATTACTTAATAAAAAAGAGTAAATATTAAAATTCTTTTTTTTAATTTGATTAATTGATTAATTTAAAATCTTATTTATAATATCTGAAATATTAAATAAAGAAAAAATATTAATTTATTATTTTAAAATGGTTTTTAATTTTTTATATTTTATAATAATTAATTAGTTAATTAATTAATAATGATGTGTAGATTGTAATTAGTAGCATACTAAAAGTTCAAAAGTATCTTTTGATATCGCTAATTAATTATTGATATTATTTGTTAACTAAATTAAATATTCTTCAAACACTATTTTTTGATAGCAAAATATACAATATTGTTAATAGAAAAAAATGGATCTATCATTATTTTCAATCGAGTAAATAAACAAGTCTTCAAATAACTCTTAAATTAGGCTATTCATAGGTGATTATAGATAAATTAAATATTCTAAGCAGAATTATATTTTGAAAATCTACAAACGATCTAATTTTTTGTAAAAATAATATAAATTGAAGATCTATTGTTTTATAAAATAGGTAAAACATGTATCATTTCTACTGTCTAAGGTGCTTAATCTACTAATTCATAAAAAGCTTGTGAATGTAATAAATAAAACTTCCAAATGAAAATCAAAATTATTTTAATTCATGCTAATTTTTTATTATTTTTAAATATCAAATTAAATAGAGGGAATAGTTGAAGTATCAATTAAAATGGAATTCAGAGGTGATTAAGTAAATTGCTTAAACTTTATCATGATCATATATCTAATTTTATATTATTTTATTCTTGAAGAAAAAATAAAGATATATGGAAAGCATTTTAAGTGAATCTTTAGAAAGTAACATCAAACTTGAGGAATATCCTTCAAAATAAATAAAGATTATTTTACAAGTTATTTGCAACGAAGGAAATGTAAATGATATTTCTACTTTATACAAATTTATTAGAATTATTAACATTAATAATCTATTATATAAAAAAAAGTTATTTTCTGCTTTATACAATGCTGCTATAGTAAGCTTACTCCATAATGGATGTAAAATGAGAACTACTACTTTTGCATATGAGTTCATTCCTCTTAGTTAAAATACAGTTAAATTATTCCCTACTAAAAAGGAACATAGCTTAGATGTAATTTATTTAATTAAATATTTTAATTGTTAAAATGAATTTGTGGAAATATTTATTAGGATGACTTTGACTAAGCTTGTGTTGTGCTTGATCTCAATACATAAGGGATAGTTACATTAGTAAATTAAAAAGGATATAAATTCAATTAAATATAAGATGGAATCAAATTAATTATATCTTCGATTTAAAATACAAAAGATCTCCTCAAATCTTATCTCTATTAATAATACACTAAGAACTTATGAACAAATAAAATGTTTTCGTATTTTTATATTTACTAAAATTTATTTCAAACAAAAATAAAATTAAAAAAACTCAAATCTATTAAAACAAACAAGCAACCTACCTATATGAAAGTAAACAGTTTTTTTTATTTTAGAATATTCTGATCAAATATTTTTTAAATATCAAATAAAAATTTATTTGTGTACTAAAAGAAGTGTTTAAAGTATTTATTTTGTGAATTAATTAATATTTGTGTTTTAATAATCCTACTAAAAAATAGAATTTTTTAAATGTTTTACTTACTAAATACAATAAAGAAATAAATATATCTCTCTCCTTTTATACAATCATAATCTCGTTGAAAAATTAGATTAATTAATCTGATTAGCTTATTGAAAGAGATCTCTAAAATAAAAAATATATATATTGATTGTATATAACATTTTTAGAATCAATAAAGAAAGCAATTTTAAAAACTAATATATTATATTAAAAAGGAAAAAACAGATAAAAAAAAATATGAGTAATAAGACGAGACATTCATAGAGACAAAAGAAAATAAACTAAAATTTGAGACAAGTAGATAGCGATACAAGAAAATATGTTTTAAATAGTCGTATAGATGAATTAGAAAGTGACTTTTACGATAGTCCTAATAGGTTGGCAGAGGATAGCGATAATGAAGATTTTGAATTAGGAATAGAAGGTGATACAAAAGCTAGTAGTGATAAAAAAAAGAAGCAAAAGAAGTTAAAAAAGAAAATCAACAAGAGAATGAAAAAAGAAACTCATTTAAGAAAGAATTTTAACCTAAAGAAGCTTATAAAAGAAGATGATTTGGATAACAAGAAAGAATATACTAATTTTGTAAACATAAGAATGAATTCAACTAAGTACCCTACTAGATCTTTTTGTTCAATTTGTGGTTCACTTTCACGCTATACTTGCCCAAGATGTGGTGAAAAATATTGCGGTATCAGGTGTCATGATTTGCACAAAGAAGTATTTTGCTTAAAGTTCGAAATTATGTGATATTTATAAATTAAATACCATGAAAAGATCTTACTTTTAAATTAGCTATGATTATTATAAATATTTATTCATGAATGACAAGAATTGATTTGGCGCTCTAAATTAAAAAAAAATGTTATTTAATAATTAAAAAAAAATGTTATTTAATAATTAAAAAAATTATATAAAGAACTCTCTACAACTACTACTCAATTTTAAAATAATTATTCATTTGTTAATGATACTTTTTGGATTTTATCTCTAATTCAAAATGCATGAAAGCCAAGTATGTTAAATAAAAAATATTCTAATAAACCAAACTCAAATTTATTTCAAATATTTCTATAAATAAATAAATGTTTATTAATTTGTAATTATTTGTTAATGTTTAACTCATTCGTTAAAATATTTTGTTTGAATAGTTTCAAAGCATTTGAAAAATGATGAAAATTATTATTAATTTATTTTGAATATCATTATTGAACAGATGTAAAAAATAAAAAATTTCGTCAGCTACAGGATTTGAACCTGTGCGGGTAAACCCAGTTGATTTCGAGTCAACCTCCTTAACCACTCGGACAAACTGACTATATGCGAATTTACTTAATAACTTAAGCTTAAAGATTACTAATATAAACTGGCATATTTTTGAAAAAGAAGTTTAAATCAAAATGATGTGTTTTTTCTGTATCTTAATTAACTGTAAAAATAAAATATAAACACATCATTAAATAAGAGTCTAAAAATAATTATAATTTCATTCATTAAAATTATTTTTATTATTAATATAAATACAAATAGTAAAATAAATTATTTAGTCTTTTTCAGAGATTAGCAGGAATAAGCAATGCACATACATTCATACCATCTTCAGCACAAACATTAAAAGTGGAGCAAGCTTCAAACTAAATTAAAAATAAAATAATAAATAATATGTTTGCATTTTTAAATAAATGTTTTACAGTAGGAAGTATATCAACTCTAATTTTCTACTTGGTAAATCTATCATAAATAGATTCTTCTAAGAAGAATTTTTCTTTTCCTGTACCTATAATGATATATGCTATATTTTTAAAATAAACATTTTAAGATCTATTAACAATAAGCTTAATTATTTATTTATTTACATGGAGCTGGCTTAACTACTTCAAGGAAATCTAAAGAGTGAGCTCTAATATCTGAAGCTGTTTGCACATCCCATAAGAAAATTTATTAAGGAAAAATCATTACACTACCTGGATACCAAACTTAATTAACAGAGAAATAGCCATTACCTAAACCATAAACCTATGATACTCTTTTAAATAAGAATTATTATTCAATTCAAAGTAAAATTTCAAAATTAAAAAGCTAGTCTATTTTTCCAAATAAAAAAAAGCTTTTAAATATGGAATACAACAAATGTGTGCATGATTTTTATTATATTATAATAAATTAAATTTACTATTGTTTCTTCTTCAAGAATTCTTCAGAAAAATTAAAAACGTCAATTGTAGGATTAACATTTGATTTAGGATTATAGAATTATCCATCCTTAGCTATTTGAAAATTCTAAATGGGTAATTTAGTTTCTCTATTTTTTAACTTTTCTTTTATTTATTATTCATTGACAATAGTTCTTTATACATCTTGATTTTAGTATTATTTCAAGATTTCTTACATCTTTTTTTATGCTTGCTCTTAATCATAAGGGTTAAACTTATCGCTAAACTATGCTTGACTTTTATAACATCCTAGCTACTACTTAATGGTATTTTATAAAATTTATGATGCTATTTATGAAAGTTTTTTAGAATTTAGGAAAATCATTTGTTTATTCTAGGTAGTGCTTTATTATTAACCAAATAAAAAAATTATCTATCTATTTATTCGTTTATTTATTTGATATTATTATTTTTAACTAAAATATTAAAGATATCAAAAAATTATCACTATATTAAAAACTTACAAACATTCAACTTATTAAAGATATCTATCAATCAATTATTCTTGATTTTTCTTAATTAAACTTTGTTATTATTTAAAATCTTAAATATTTTGAAAATATTTTGCAAGAAAATCATATTTTATTTTTTGTCTAATTTTTTATCTCTTATGAGTTTTTATCATATTTATAGATATTTTCATTGATATTGCTAATCTTATTGTATTTACTATTATTATTTTTTAAAAGCTAGTAAAATTAAAATTGCTATGTTTCATTTATTTTTATATTTTAGAAATTAATTAAATAAATAAAATTGCTTTGAAAGATTATTCATTTTAAAAGCAAATTATCATAAATTTATTTAAGTAATAAGGGTTAAATCATTAAAAAATTTAATTTTCAACTTTAGAAAAATATTTTAAATGAAAAAAACATATTTTTCTTTTTAAGTAATGCAGTCTAAATATGTAAATTTAAATTATTAATTTTTAAATAGTAAAAGTATATTTATAAATCATAAAGCTTAAGGTATATGATGATGAGGATGATTATGACAAAAATATTAATAACAAAAAAAGTTAAGTATGTTTAAGTTTGAATTCTTGGCTTTATATTAAAAAAGATATATTTTTAAGTGGAGTTAAACTCTATTTCTTCTTAATTATTATTATTAAATTGGTATTTTTCATAAATATTTTTTATAAAACTAAATTAGATGGTCTTAAATTATAACTGTTAGTAGTAGATTTGTTAAGATTTAATTTATTAGAACTTATCAAAAAAATGATGAGCGTTTCATTCTATTGACTATTATCAAGTCTTAAATGATAAATATCTGGAAGTATTTACATATTAAAAAAAATAACCACTTGAATTTATCTAAAACTGTTTGTAAAATTCTATTTAGGAGAATCTTTTTTGATTTGATAAGTGTAATAAATTTAACAAAATTTGCTCAATTAAAGACTTTTTTAAATTACCGTACTTTTAATAAAATATAACTATGAGTAAAAATCAAGGAGCGCATTTTAAACTTTGTATTATAGAAGGTTTTTAATAATTAAGTTTTCAAATTTTAATAACATCTAGTGAGTGATGTGCTCATCAAATCATAAATATTTCTAATATAAAATATATAAATAAATGTCAAATAATTATGAGAATTTCTATTTTTTAAGTTCTAAATTTACTTTTTAATAAATATATATTGATTAAATATATTATAAAAGATTCTCATATACTTTTTCAAATATTCAGAAAAGAGAATTGAAAAATCTAAAAAATAAAAATTTAAATTGATCAATTACTATAAATTGCAGATTATGAGTGAACTATAGATAAAATCTTTGTTTTTTTTCTAAATTTGTTGTATTATTTGATTATTATTTTTACTTACCTTACCTACTTCTTAGGAAATCATAAATTAATTAATGAGCTGATTAATTTGTTAATAACCTCAGAAAATTTTATATTTGCAGTAATAAATTTTAATCATTAAAGATTTTTGCAAGAATATCCTAAATATAATAAATAAATTTAAATAAAATTTGTTTTTATCTAAACATAATTGGTTAAATAGAGTAAAAAAAATACGATGTTTGCTAAGTTTTTTGGTTAAAAAGAAGATCACGGAGATCTCAAAATATCAAATTTAGATAAGTTCCCTTCAGATATCGACAAAGCTAAAATTAGAGCCTAGGCATATGCTGTAAAATTAGCTTATTTAACTTATAATTTATTAGTTTTGAAGCATTTTGAAACAAATATATTTTTAAAATATGGAGATTTTATGATAAAAATGAAAGTATTAATTTAATTTAATTTTTTACAAAAAGGACTCATTGACTGCCAAGCAAATCAAATTGTTTTCTCGTAATGTCTAAGTTAATGGAGAAGAAGTAGAAGAAAAATATAAAAAAATTAATAACTATTCTGGTAAGTATATCAGAGAAGAGTCTATGAGTCTTTGGTGTGAGAATATTGATCTCTACTTTTTAGGTTCAGGTTATCCTATGTATTTTGATTTTGTTAAGAGTTGTTTGATTATACTCTTCTTAATCTTTGTATCTAGTGGATCTTACAATCTATTTTCTAATGCCTTGATGGGCTCAGATTGTTTAACTATATTTTACCACCCAACTAATACTCCTAATGTTCCTGGACAACCTGAAATAGAGCATGGTTGTTAATACTCTTGGACTACTATCCTTTCATTTGCTAATAAAAGAAATAACGCAGATCTAGTTTAGCTTTAGGATATCATGAATTTTATTACAGTCATTACAATTGTTTTTGTCTTACAATATCTTCGTATTAATCAAAGAGCATTAAATGAGGACTGTGATGGTTTACTTATATCTCCTAGTGACTACACTGTTTGGGTATAGGGTGTTCCTAAGTACGAAAAAAGCAATGAAGCTATTGATCAACTAATTAAAAAGGATATTAGCGACTAGATTCATGAACTTTACATTAAAGATAATCCAAAAATGGCAGATACTTTCTAAATAGAAAATGTAACTGTTTGCTACAGCTTGGAAGAAGTAACAAGACTAAATACTGAAAAAGATTAAATCATAGCAAAATCATAAGAATATTTGAAGAAAGGAGGATAAAAGGAAGATGAAGATTTTAAAACATTGATTAAAGAGTTAGAAGATAAGTAAGAAGAAATTATGAAATTAAAAAAAGAATATTACGATGGATCTAATTTCGAACATTTTACAGGTCACGTTTTCATTACTCTTAGCACTGAGTTAGGTACATTTATAGATTATATCTCAATATAAAAAATATAGCAAGATACAGTTTTTAAATGAATGGCATAAGTACACATTTAAAAAAGCAAAATAATAAGAATAAAAAATATATAATTTAAAACCAAAGTATAAATAAATACAACTCTTTTTAGCAAAATAAGCTAGAAATTTTAAGCTTTTTTTTACTACCTAAGTAGTTTTAAATTCAAATACTTGATTTACTTTAAAATGCTACTAAATTAATTTATATAAACGAAAAATATTTTTTTAAAAAAATTAAATAGCCAAAAATATTTTAATTGAAGAGCAAGATTCAAACTGCTTTAACATCTGTAAGAAAAACAAATAGCTTAAATTAAATGGTGAAACTATTGAAATTTTACCTGCTCCTGAACCTACAGATGTTAATTGGAACACATTAGGAGTTAGTTCTAGATAATAATTCATCAATAATATTATTTCAGATATTGCTACCTTCTTTTTACTCACAGTAAGCTTCTTTATCATTCTAGGATTAATGAAACTTTAATCTAGTGCTGCTGAAGATTACAAAAAAGAACATCCTAAAGAACCCAATGTTTCTCTCTCAGTTAAGATTTTCGCTCTTTTTATATCTATTGTTATTCCTGGACTCAACTTTGCTCTTTAAATCTTTTTAACCAAACTTTCACTGTAAATTTATTTCTTTTAGTAAAAATAGCTCATTCATAAATTTCTCAATAATGTTTATTAGTTTTGAAAAGCATCATAGAAAAACAAAAGAAATAGCTTCCCTAGGTGTTAAGCTTGCAATCGCATAATTCATTAACACTGCTGTCATTACTTTCTCCATTAAAGTTATGTTTGATCTTTTTGATGATCGTTAAAAAGCCGAAGATAATATTTACTCAGCAAGTAATCTAATATAAAAAAAGCTACTTTTTGTTTTAAAAAAATATATAAATCTAAAAAATAGGTGGATTGATTTACAATCAATAATTTGTGTTTATTACTAATGCCTTAATTAGTGGTGCTAGCTTATTAGTAGATGGTGGTAGAATCTACAAGATTTTCAATAGAATGTTCTTGGCTAAGTACTAGTACCTTACTCAGCGTTAAATCAATACTCTTTATGAAGAACCTGAGCACAATCTTGCATTCGAGTACAGTGGATTGTAGAAAACTATGCTTTTCACAGCTTTTTATGCTCCTTTAATCCCTGTTGGTATTTTATTCTCTATGCTTGGTATTATGCTCCTTTACTTCATTCAAAAGGTAAAATAAACATTCTTACTAAAATCAAATTTGATATTTAATTGTTCTTTAATTACAAAAAGTACAAAATTCTTAACCATAGAACCATTAGATATTCAATGAGTAACTTGCTTTCACTTGAAATGATAGAATTAACAGAATATATTTTACCTATTTACTGCGTAATTTTTTATAAATAAATTTTTTTATCTAATAATTTTCTAAAAATAAAATAAAAATAGCTTTCAAACATAGTCTTCTCTTATATTCTTAATTAAAATTCTCACATCTCTATCTTTTCAGCTTTAGCTGTTGCTATTGGTATTTTTAATATTTTCTTACCCATGAATGCTATCAATGAATTCTTTTTCTATGTTAAACCTTGCCCTCCTCTTAAAGAAAAATATTCTGAGAATATTTCTAACTTTTAGTTTGTAAATTTTATTTTTTTTTTTAATCCCTTTAATAATTTTAATATTTCTGCCAATAGGATTATGATAGAGCTAACCCAGCAACTGATGATTATGCTAGAAAGCTATATGTAGAAAATGAAATTAAGCTTCATAAGCAATAATTCTGAATAAATAAATGAGTCAAAGATTTTTTTATTTCAGTGTTTTCCTTACATTTTAAATCAAGATGTTTTTAATTTTAAGTAAATATATTAGTAAAATAATAAATAAATAAAATATTTTTTTTTGTTTGGTATTTTGAATTAACAACCTTTAAAAAGTTAATCATAATTAATTTTACAATATATAAAAACAAATATAATTTTGTAGTTAATATTTAACAAATTTCCAGAATAAAATTATTAACTAACATTAATTAAATTAAAAAAAATCAAATATATTTTCTTCAAAATTATAATATTTAATAAAAGTAAAATCTTCAAATTTTTAAAATATAAACTAAATTGTTGATTTATCTAATTCTCAAATTTAATGATTTTTTCAAAATTAATAAAATAATTATCTAAAGTATAAAAATAATATTGAAAATACATAAGATTTTTATAGTTTTATTTTTTTACTTATTCAAGTAGTAAGCTAAAAATTAATATATTAATTTATTTATCATATTTTAGAATAAATGAAATATTAAAGTTAATATGTTTAATATAAAAGCAAATTCTTTTAAAGTTATTTTATATTTTGTATTTAAGAACATAAATTTATTTATTACTTATTATTTTAATTTATTTACTTTATACCTCATTTTTGACTTTTTGACTAAAAAAAAACACAAAAACTGAGATATTCATAATAAATCAATACTAGATTAATATATTTATTTTTATTATTAATTAGGAACTGTTTAGATATTAAATTTATTATACTAGTTATTTTACTATTAAGAAGATGTAAATGAAGGTGATTGATTTTATTAGTTTATGTTACTATTTATATTGAAGTTAGTAGCTTAACTATTATTATATGACATATTTATTTACATGAAATTAGAATCACTTCTAGATTAGTTATTTCTATTTAGGCCTTCGTTAAACGAATTTATATTATTATTTTGTCCATTAAATTAAAAAGTTAATCTATTTTAATCTACACAATTATTATCAGTTTTAAAAAAGTCTTCAAATACTTTGGAATTATTAGCCTAGGATTATTCAACTGAATGTGATTTATGAATTTACTAAAACATTGAGGAATTTTATCCAAAAAATGGACACTCATCTTTTATATATGTTTATGCTGATTAGTTAGATTATTAGGCTGTGCTTAGAGATTAGCTTCTATTAAAATTTCCTTGCTATTAAGGCTAGCTATTATATACTTAACTACCAGATTTTTATGGCTATTCATTTTAAACCCATGAGCTAAAATTAAATCCTGAAAAAGGATTTGGTTAAATATTTTCATTTTTTATATTGCTTTAATTTTATTGTTTAATTCCATTGAGCTAGTTTTAATTACTATTATTTTGCTGCTAGGTATTTTAAATTTTAGAGTCTTACCCAAACGATTAAAATACACCTTTAAATTAATTTTCTGGTTGTTTATTGTTTCTAGATTTATAATATAAATAATTTATGATATAATAAAATAGACATTTTTAAATAATCAGATAATTAATTACTCTTGATTTTTGTAAATTGGGCCATTGAAAATCTGTGGATTAGGTCCTTTTATTTTGCTAACAACGTTATTATATCTCTCTTTTTCTAAATTTATACGATTTAAAGTATCTTCATCAATATCTTCAGGATCACTATCTGATAAATTTCCATCTTGTATGTAAACATCATTATTTTTATTACTCAACCCTAATTTTCAAAATAATATAAAGCAAATAAATAAATCCATCCGTATAAAAAAGCATATCATATATATACCATGTTATCTGTACTAAGAATTTATTTCTTAAAATTCAATATTGTTGATGAATAATTTTGATTTATCTGCATATGCTTCAATTCTTGCCATATTTTTATGCTGATCTATATTGAATTTCATTTCATATTTTCCAAATTGACTATTTTAATAGAATTTTTAACTATTTTGATTCTTTTTTTTATATCTTAAAATATTACCCTGAACTTGTTGAAATCTTTTAACCATCTAAAAATAATTATCTCTTGCCTGAAATAACTGAATAATATAGAACTACTTCATGTCTTTCTATATCATCATCTCTTATCTCAAAGCCAAAATCCCACTAATACTTTTTTTTAGTTCTTTTGATCTTTTTGCCTACATCTTCACATATATGTCTAAAGACAATTGCCTACATTATTCTTCTGACTTATTTAATATTTTTAATCAATAAAGATATATATTTTAATCAAATTTTTATAAATTAATTGATTATTGACAAAGAGTTTATAATTTTATTTAATACACAATTGTCTTAAAAATGATAAATTACTAATTCCTTATTCTCAAAATTTGACCAAATTTAGATTTTTATCTATCAGGAATGAATGAATAACAAACATTTTCAAAATTTTTTGGTTAATTACTAGTTATAAGTATTTTTTCTTAAATTATAAAATTCTTCTTGACTTATCTATCCTATTATTGACTGTAATCTAAAATTTATTAATGCATCTTGAATTTAAGTTACTAACAACTTTTAGAATATCTCACCAATAAAAATTTTCAAAGTAAACAAAGAATTCTTACTTTAGTACCAAAATAATTAATTTTAAGATAATTTTTGTTCAAATTTTATTCTATAAAATAAGCAAAAAAGAAGTATTTTTTTAAATTTAAATATCTCTAGTTAGTGAGTAAGTTGCTAAAACTTGGAATTAATTCATAAAATTTTTTTTTAGGATATTCTAACTTAGAAAATATTTAATTAAAAAGTATTTTACAAATAAAATTGAAGGATATTAAATAAGGAATTAAAAACAAGTATTTCTAATTTAAAAATTCGTGTTTTCACATACGATTTTTTAAAAATGAATAAAAAAAACAATTAAAAGATGAAGAATGTTTAAGTGCATGAAAGGTGTTATATTTAATATAAAAATAAATTAACTATTTACAAAATTGTTATAATATAAAATATAAATAAAAAATTATTAAAGTAGTATTTTTTATAATCACAATCTGTCCTTTTAATCTTCTAAATGGAAAGATCTTTTTTTTGGTTTTTTCTAAAGATTTATTTTTTATATAAAACTTTCATCTTCGTGCCCTAAGAAAATACTATCTTCTTTATTCTTTTTGAATGTATTATTTATGTTTGGCTAGCTTTAATTTATTCTAGGAAGTTGAATGCCACTATTAATTTGTTAAATATTTGTTTATGTTTGAAATAAATTATAATTTTACTTTTGTTGGTGCTATATTTCTTTCTTTTAATTTAAATATTAGTTGTATAATTCATTCTCAATCTAGAAAGTTTTTTCTATTTATTCATCTTATAAAATAGTTTCATTTTAAAATACTGCTCTACTAAGTCCCTAAATATAACCTTGTCTTAGTACTTCTTCTAAAAATTTAATTGATTCCTTATCTGAAAATTGCTTCTTTTTTAATTATGAATTAATTGTTTATTGACTACTGTTTATCTATTAGCTATTTGCAGGTTATCTTTGATTTTAATCAGATATCATTGATTAGTTTACTGTGTAGTGCAGTAGAAGAGCTAAAGGATCATTTGTCCTAAGCTTTATTCTGTGAATCTCTGTCCTTGGATTAAACTAACTAATCTTTGGTTCAAATAAACCCATTCCTCTATTGCAATTATAGAAGGTTCTTTTCTATAAAGCGTTTGATAAATTCTTTTCAACATTAACTAACTAATTTTTGGTGCTTACATCATGCCCAGCAGTTTCTAGCATTTATTAAATTGTTAAATTGCTTGTATAGAGAGCAGAGGGAGTACCTAACTCCAATGCATATTTTTAGCCATTATCTTTTTTTTGACTAGTTTATTTATTAGTTTTACTATTTTAAGTGCTTTTATTGAAGTCCAAAGGTTTCAAAATTTACAAACTCCTAGCATTTAACAATTGATTGTTGTTGCTAATATTCTACTATTTATTTTGAAAATTTTATTCTTATTATGGCAAAAGATTTTTCTTTTTTTCTTAGTAGTTTTTCCTCATACTATACAAGTGTTAATTATTTAACCTTGTAATAACAAACTTATTCTTATTCCTCATAATTTCGTTTATCTGATCATTTGATCGAAGCAAAATATTTAAATCATCAGTGCTCATTTTGATTATATTGTTAAGAAATCAATAAATATATTCTTTATTGATGAAATATATCTTAAATAATATTAATATTATCAATTATCAACACCTTATAAAAGCTTGATAATTAATTAGCTGTATTTCTAATTTTTTATAATTATTGTTATTTAATATTATTTATTACCTCTTTAATTATATTTTAGGCATTTATAACTATTTCTATTAAGTAAGTCCTAACATATATCACCTTATTTATTTTTATAATTTTTTTTTTAATTGGAAGCTAAGCCATTTAATAGAATAGTGATGAATCAATTAATTCAACCCTTTAAAAATACCTAAAAGAAAATAGATTGATTATATTAAATTCAACAACTTTATTTTGCAAGCTTAAGTAAACTTAAAAAGTGTTGAACGTTATAATTTATTTTTATTATGATTTTAATATTGAATTTTCTAATACTTAATTACATGTGTTAATATTATTAACATTCGTATTTAGTTTATTTTTTAAAATTATAAATATTTTTAAATATAAATAGCTTGGTTTAAAATAACTGAAAAGAGTTTTTATTAAATTTAATGATAACCAAAAATAAATTTCAAATATTTTTAATCTATTTTAAACTATTTAAACTTTTTAAATATAAACTCAAAAAATTTTAATTTACTTTTCATTCATGGCATAATTAAAACTAAAAATTTTTGAATATTAATTATCTAGATCATAATATTTTTGTAATTTATAATAAAAATTGATATAAATTAATTTCATCTATTCTAATTTAGAAGCATTTGTTTAGATTTTTAATGGATTAAAATAAACTTATAAATAGTAAAAAGAAAAGTAAAAAAAAACTTTAAAAACATATTTTTGTAATAAAAATTAACACATTTTAATAATAAAGAAAAATAAATATTTATATAAAACAATTTAATGGTTCAATAAACTTCTTAATAAAGCTTAGATTTTTTAAAATGATTAAAATTTATTTTAAAAATTTAAATTCTAAATAACTATTTTTGATATAGATTAAATAAAATAACTCATTAACTTATTAAGTTAAGCTTGAAATTTTTATAATTTCCTAATAGGTGTTTTTACTAAATAAATCTCAAAGGCATTTAAGATTAAAGTTAATGGTTAAATTATCAAAAATTTATATAATTTTTACTAACTAAAAAGTACTGATAATAATTATAATATTATGGACTGATTGATATTTATTTTCTTAAACTATTTTAAAAGCTCTTTCATTCATTTTTATTTAACGAAGTAGATTAACTTAAATTTATTTATTAAAGAAAAGTAGATTATTATAATGAAAATTTTATAATTTTGAATAATAAATTTGTTAATCTTTTCTATATTTAGTAATATAAATGTAAGAAATTTTATAAGTTTATGATTTATTTATTCAAGTAAATTTTACATAGTTATAAATAGATATTACTATTCATTTAAGAATGATTTATTCTTCATATTAAATTAAGATTTGTTTGTATTCAAACAGATACTTTTAAGAATACATCATATATTTATTAATTATTTATAATAAATAACAAATTTTTTTAACATCAAAAAACCAAAAAACTCAAAAAGCAATTTTTTATATTCGCAACAAAAAAATTATAGGACAAGACACAATTTATAGCTATGAATACAAACATTTAAAATATTTAGGCTTTCAAATTTAATTATGATGTCAGTTTGTAAAAGATAACATTAGCAATTTCTTTTCCTTGTAAAATTCAGGTAACACTAAAAAGAGGTAATATTTTTGATACTATCAATAATTTTGAATATTAAAATTATGTAAAAATGAAATAGGAACTTAAAAAATAGAAAGTTAACAGTTCGATTTAGAAAATGGAGCTGCTAAAATGGAGTAGCTGTTGAATTTATAAACTAATCTTTACTTGGATTTAGAAAATAAAACATTTTTGGAGAAAAAAGTGAGTTATTTATTTGTTATTTTCGTCAGTTGGTTAAATATATTTTTCAAATAATTTATTTAACAGGCAACTTTTACAATCTTAATCATTACCCCAAAAGGTCAAAAAGTAGCTGGCACATGTCAAATAGATTTAGCTCATTATGCTCGCAACAAGATTACAAGTAAAAAATGTTACAATTAAATCAAACAATACTTTATTTTTAGTCTCATCAATTGTTAAATAAGTATTTTTCCAGTAAAATTAACTTTCTATTTTAACTTAAGATAAATAGGAATCTCTAAAATTAGAAAAGTGTCCTGATAAAAATGCACTTTTTACTTTCAATATTGCTACATCCATAGTAGGTTAGGTAGAATTCGATAATATGAGGTATATTTGTTGATTAATAATTAAAATATATTGTATAATATAATGATTTTACCTTTTACTTAAAAGTATGTCATCAGTAGCAAGTAAAGCTTAGAATGAATACTTGACTCATGAAGATGTAAAAAAGTCATAGCATTCACGAAATCCATCTTAAAATAATTTATAATTAGAGTCAGAATATAAAAGTAAAGCTTTTTAAAAAATTTAACTAGCTTTTAATTCTATTAATTTGTATTAGGTCCTTTAAAGGAAGCTAGTGATACAACCACATAGTCATTAAGCAGTAAATCTACAAATTAAAAAAATACTTCCTAGCTTAAAGAAGTTTAGAAATAGCAAGAAAATTAAAATATCCAACCTGTTAATGGATATCACAAAGAAGATGATAAATTATAGAAATAATTTGAAATAATGAAGAAATAGATTGAAGAATATCAAAACGAAAAGATTACATTTTAGAAAAAAATCGAGTTTTTGTAAAAGAGTTTAACCGAATCTGAAGAAAAGAAAAACGAACTTTTGAAAGAAAAGCAAGAAAGTATAAAATAAATTAACAATTTAAACGAAATTCTACGTAACTAATCAAATGGAGATGAAGGATTAAAAAAATAATGTCAAAATTATGAGAAATAGTTGTAAGAAAAGTAGAAAATAATTGAAAAAAAAGAATAACTAATCTAAGAGTTAAATCATCAAGTACAGAAATTTTAAGACCAAATAGATCAAACTCAACAACAATTAAATTAGAAGACAGAATATATGAAAACAATTTAGGATTTGCAATCATAAATAACAGTCCTTAAAAAAACTAGTTCATAAGATGACCCAAAATTAAAATAAAAAGTAGAAGAACAAGCTGCAATAATTTTAAAATAGTAATCTTAAATAGAGTAAATGAAGTAAGAAACGAATGATCTAATTAGAACCAGAGTTAATGAAGTTTATACTTAATAGCTTACCAAAATAGAAGAATTAGAAACAACTAATAATTAATTAAGAATCTCATTAACTAAAAGTGAATAAAATGAAAGGCTCATTCTTGAAAAAAAATCTTTAATGGTAAATTAATTTATTAATCATTTAAAGTAGGTTCTTACTTATTATAAGAATCGAATATTAAGTTCTAATGCACACTTTTGTTTTAATATAAAATGAAAATACATTTTCAAAAAATTTTTATTAAACTTATTGTGAATTATTAATTAGTAATAAAAATATTTTATTGAATGTATTTTTAATAAAAAAGGAGGAGTTAGAAACAAAAAATAAATAAATTGCTAAATTACAAACAGATCTTAAAAATGCTCTAGATTAATCTCAAACTATGGATATGCTTTCAAATGAATTGGTAAAATCTAAGTAAAAATTAGGTGATTTATATAATAGAGCTATGGAAATAGGAGTATATGAAAAACTACTTTAATATTGAAGCTAAACTCACTTAATTATTTTTTATAAAGAGTAACTACTAACTTAATTACTTACCTATTTATTTATATTAGTTAATTATTTATTTTATACATTAAATGTTTAATGTTCCTTTCTGATATTATTAAAGTTAAAATTTTTTTGTTTTGAAATCACTTTGAAATTTGTAAAATAAATAAATAAATTATAATTTAATTTTTATTAAAATAAGAATTTAATTAAACGAAAAATTTTTAAATTATTTTATGTTTGCTATAAAATTATATTGCTCATTTACTAAATTAATCAAAAACAAAAAGAACGATGAAAAAAAAGGTTGATATTTAAATTAGATTGTATCTTATTATAGAAATTGAGTATTATTATCTTTTTTACTAGATAAATATGATAAGCCTATATGTTGTTTTGTTATTTTTTAGAAGGAATAATATCCACGATTTTAATTTGAATAAATCTAAAGCATTTCTATCTAGTTTGTGTTGATAAGCAATATCTGAAAATTGTTTATAATGCTTTTTATATTTTTGTAATAACTTCAGATTTGTACTTTTAATTAGTTAATTATTAGATAGAATGTATACAAATTTTGAAATTGTTTGCAAAAAATAAGAAAAATCTTAATTTTATTATGGTTAGCATAAACCAATATTTTTCTTGAAGAACAAGCTCATTTTTACAATTGGACCACATTGTAAAGTATTTTAAAAATTAGCAAAATAACTTAATTTGATGATATAGTTCGATAGGAATATTTACAAAAAGTCCATCGTTCATTAGCAAATATTGTTTAATATTCTAAAGAATGAACAAAAAAACATTTGGAAAAAAAAATGTTTTAAATAAAAAAAATTAAATTGTTTTAGATAAAATTATGAGTTAATGATATAAATTTAAAATCAAAAGGGAAAGTTTTTTGTATAGCGATGAGCATTCTACTATTAATATCTATTTTAATGAATGTCAATATATACAAAAAATGTAGAAAAAAGGCAATAAAAATTATTATGGAATAATAAGAAGGAGCTAATGAACCCCTTTCAGAGGAAATTGCTGATAATGAAGTGTCTATTTTATCGTCTTAATTTACTTTATTTTTTTTCTTTCTCACTGTATCTTTGCTTTAACATTTTACTTACTTATGGGTCTTTCTTAAGAATCCAGGTATTGTTTATAAACCAGAGTATAATCCCGCCACTAGTAGGAGAGCATCCATGTAATTTAAATTGATACTATAGCAACTTATGGTATTTATAAGTTGACTTGCCATACTTTTAAATTTAATTCACACAAGACTAAAATTTATAAATTTTTTATATAAAAACTAGAACTAGGTAATTTAATTTAGAGTTTTAGCTTGTATATTAGCTTAGATTAGCTATTAGAATAAGTTTAAATTGTTATAATGCAAATATAAAATAAGTTTTAGCAAATATTTTATTTTTATAGAATGTGCAGTATTTGTAAGGCATTTAAGAATTCATAAAGATGTCATTGTATGTACTGTGAAATTTGCATAGAATAATATAGTCATCATTGCCCTTGGATAGGTAAGTGTGTTGGTATCAATAATCACACGTCTTTCTAATACCTTAAATTTTTTACAGCACTTTATTTCCTAGTAGGGATATTTGTATTATGTTGGAAAATCTGAGATAAAATAGTTTAACTGACTGATTGACTGACTTTCTAGATAGTAAAAATTATATTAGCTCTAATTAAAGTAAATGTAGAAATATGATATAATAACCTTAATAATAATATATAATGTAAGACTAATAGTATTAAAGAACCTTAATTTAATTTTGTAAGTGAATTTATAATTTTATTTGTTGCTATTGAGTTATCTAATATCGAAATATTGATAAATTTTACTAAATTTATGTTGTTTTTTATACCATTTGAATTCTTTTAAATAGCTTTTTAATCATTATATAGAAAACCAAATTTATAGTGGAACTCATTATTTATAATATTTAATTCATTTTTAAATATTTTTATAGGTCAATACTTATTGGAATAAATATTTTAATTTATTATATATACTTAAACAAATGAAGATATTTTTTATCAATTCTTTAAATTGCAAACCTTCCAATCATTAAAATTTTTTTAAAAATGTTAAATTCAAAAAGGATTTCAAAAAGCAATTTTTTAGATTTAAACATTTTGAATTCAAAGAATTAATAATTAATAAACAATACTTAATTTAAATAAATATTTAATATTCCTTTTAATTATTAAATATTTAAATGACTTTTAAAATGAAGAGTTATAAAAACAATCTATCTAAATGAAAAAAAAATAATAATAATAAGAAATATTTAAAATATTAAAATTATTGAAATAGATTGATTGGATTAAATGTTTTGTTTGTAAAAGAAACTAAGTGAGATTTTTAATTTAATTCAAAGAAATACTATTTATACATATATTCAGGTGCAAATTTAATTGATAATTACCAGCTTATTCCTTAATAATTTTTATCTAATTGTAGTTATTAAAAATTAAAGCAATAAAACATGAGATATTATAAAAATGATTAATTATTTGTGCGTTTATTTATTTATTTATTAATGTGTTTATCTTATAATTAAAACCTTTTCTACCAAAACTTTAACATCATTTTCAGAAATCCACAACATCATCTTCTTCGACATTCTCTCCTTCTAACTCATCAAGATGTTCTTCATCTTCTTCAGCTACACCTGATTACTTTTATCTAAGCTTATGTTGCAAAACGGTTTGACTAAGAATTCCAATTCTAACATCCATTTGGCCGATTTCTTCCTAAATTGTTAAGATATATTTTCAAGTAAATTTTATTTATTTAAAAATAAATTACTCTTATTTTTTTTATGGCATCCTTAATTTTAATAACAGGAGATGAATTAGTTTGTTCTTCTCCTTTTGCTTCTACGATAGACTTTTATTTTTAAAAAATTTTAATTAGATATACACTTATTGTGTTTTTTTTAATAGTCAGTTACCTTGATGCTATCATATTTTTCTTTTAATTATCTATATTATTCACCTTATTCCTTAACAGAAGCCTAGAGATTGTTATATTGGGTAACCATATTTTTGTAATTTTCAGACTTTGCTCTATATTCTCCACCCTTTTAAATTTTTATTCAGCATGTTATGAATTCAAGTTAGATATTTAATTTTAAATTGTTATTACAAGATCAGTTAGGTTAGAGTTAATTGATTTTTCTCTCTTTTAAATTTAATCTAAAACTTTAGAAAGATTATCAACCAATTTTTCTAATCTTTAACGTGCTTCAGGTAATGTTTTTTTAACATTACTGTTATATTCTTTGGTTTATTCAATATGGGATCTCCATTCTTTAGCTTCATTTTTTACTTAAATTTTAAGTTTTGGAGTGACTCTTTCTACTTCAATAATCCAATCTTTTTCATTGATTTTTGATTAGATAATTTCTTTATCTTCATCAACACTTTATTTAAGATAAATAAATAAATAAAAATTAAAAAAATTTTAGCTTTAATCAATAATTATTTTAAATTTAAATTTCTTTTTAACATATTTTTTACTATTAACTAACTTTAAAAAAATGATAATTACTCCTTCTTTTATTGACTTGGTTCTCCCATATCGTCATATTCTCCATCACTTTAACTTGCAATAGAAATATTCTCAGCCATATCTGCATCTTCATCATTTCCTTCTATTCTAGTTTCTTCATCAGCACTTTATAATTTTTTATGCTTTTTAAAAATATTCTATTTATAATATCAACTACTTTTATGAAGGTTGTTCCATTTTAGGCTTCTTAAAAGCAAAATTCTTAGTCTTAAGAGCTCTATTTGCTAAATCTAATAGGATTTTACATACTATTTCTCCAGAACCCTTTTATAAAATTAAAATTTAATTTTAATAATTAAAAATATCTATATAGAAAAAAGAGTTTTTTTATAATATGTAATGAAAACTCTCAGAATGTATTGAGATATATATAAGTATCTTTTAAGTAAGAATTACCGATCTTAATTTTATAGGCTAGAAGTCATTATCTAATCCAATTTTTTTCAATTCAAATTCTATTATAATGTAAAAGAAAATATTTATATTTAAACTACTAAAATAAGCTAATATAAGCTGCATAATTAAATCTTGAAGTGAGTAGAATTTAAACCATGCAAATTAATCTTTAATTACAAATGTTATTAGCAATAGAAATAGGATCACCAAATTGGTTGAATTCAACATTAGAATTATTTAACTTGAAAAGCCATTATGCGAGTCTATTTTTTAAGAAAATAAATATCTAAATATATTGTTTTGTTTTCATATTTAATTCTTCATATTCAATTCCTTTTTATTTTAAGTTTCATTTTTAAAATATACCTTGTGAAATAGTTAAATTGTTCATTAGGATTTAATGAGACAGCAAAGTAAGCTCTATTCAAAAGTTTAAGACCACTATTTAATTTATAGCATATAAAATGGATTAATATCTAATTGCAATATCGTGGAATGAAATTACTTTTGAGTGGCAAAATCTCTTTCGTAATTTAAAAGCTTTAACTTTTCAAGGACTTCTTCCATATAGACGGTAGCATCCTCTTCACCATCAACCTTTAGTTAATTCATTAAACAAAATCACTAAATAAAAAAGTTCCAAGCAATTGGCATAAACATGATCTCCCATATACTAAGAGATCCCAATTGCTAATATTGCTAGTTTACTTAAAATTATGTTTCTGACATTTCTTTACTAAATTTTTGATTGAACTATTCCTTTTATTATTTCTTTGTTTGTTTCTTTAATTACTCTTGTTGGTTTTGCTTGCTGGAGTTATAAGAATGTTAAAATATTGCTACAATTTTTATTTATATTTTTTAATTTTTCAAATTTTTATTGAAATTTTGCTTTCAAGATTTTTTAAATTGCAAATATTCTTCTTTCTTTTTTTTCTATTTAATTATTTGCATGCTTATTTGATTTTGTTTGTTTGTATGTATGTTTGTCTTTCCATAGATGAATTATAATGATTTTACATAACTTCAATTTTAATTACCAAACCACTTAAACTTAATAATTAAACAAATCTATTATTTTTACATAATTTTCAAGCCATTATTAAAAAATAGTTAAAAAATAATGCCAAAAAAGAAATAACTTTTATTATTATTTTTATTTTATAAAATATTTTATATGATTTAGGTATTTGTTAATCTTACATTTTATCATAAAAATATGATTCTTATTAATTTAGCTAATTCTCTTTAATCCTTGAAATTTCAATTTTAATCATTTTAAAATGTTAAAAAATTATCATTTAAAATTTTTAAATTAAAATATTTTTTTTAAGCTTTTAAAATATGGGAAAAAAAAATTTAATTCATTAAAACATGTAAAATGCTTTAATCAAACTCAATAAATAATATTAATTCAACTACAATAAATATAAATTATTGGCTGCGCATTTATTATTAAATCACTAAAATCCTTTCCATCCGTTCTTTTTTGCCACCTCAAATCTATTTTTCCAATCATTGCAAACTCCTGAATCAACGCACGGATTTCCATAAAGGCATGAACACCCTTCTTTCCTTTCTCCTCTTAATTTATCTTCCTTTTTCTCTGCAACAAAAGCTTTACTTTCCCTTTAGGCTTCGGCAGCATCATCTTCTTCGATTTACAATCCATACGTTTCACCAGTTATTAACCCTGAAAACGTAGTCACATTATCACTATTTATTTTTTCTTCAACTTTTATTTTATTTTTATCAGATAAATGCATCTTAAAGTTTCCTAAAAATACCGCAGACATACAATATTCATCATCTATAACTTAGCTAGTAATTTATCCATTTATTATTGGGAATTTATTTTTGTAATGATTGTAAGTAATAGTAACTTCTCCATGCACTACTTCTTATTTTTCAACTTTCTATTCTTCTTTTTTTTATTCAACCGGTTATTATACTTCTTATTTTATTTCATCCTATTTAACTTCAATCTTCTTTTCTTCTATTTTTACAGCATTTTATTTATTTTAAGACTTTGTATCTGTTTTAGCTTTTGTAGTAGTAGTTGATTTTACAGCTGATGTTCCTGATTTAGCAGTACTTGTAGATGTTTTAGTTGCTGTAGTCCCTGCTTTTTTAACCGCTGTACTTCCTGCTGGTTTAGAAGCTGTAGTAGAAGTAGTTTTTGTTGCTGCTGTTGTAGTAGTTGTAGTTTTTTTAACAGTAGATGTAGTTGTGGTAGTAGTAGCTTTTTTCATTTTAATATTCTATGGCAAAAATTTTATTAATAGATTAAATTATTTGATCAAATAAATTAATGTAAATAATTTCTGTTGTTGTTTTTTGTTGCGAATTTATATTAAAAAGCAAAGTTTTGATATTCTAGATTTATTTTACATCAAATTAAATTATATTGAAATCATTTTTTTACAATTTTTATAAAAAATATATATAAAGAGTTTATTTATTATGTACAAATAAAATATTATAATATGTTGATAATGTTATATTTATCAGAAATACTGTTTATTACTTTAATTCTTTAGCATTTATAAAGTAAATTATTTGTCTTTAACTGAAGATGACTAGTTAGAAGAGTTTATTCTGTTACTAGTTTGATTTCTTTATGAGTTTTTATTATTGTTCCTGCTGCTGCTGACTTATTGCTATTATTGTGTATGAAAATTTTAGAAAAATTTCTAATATTAAGAACACTAATTTTATTATTCTAAGAAATCTTACTATTGACTTATATAATTTTGCATATTTTAGTAGTTTATATTTTCATTGAAATAGGTTCTGTTTGAAGATTTACTTTAGCTTGACTATGGCCTTATTATTGTATTTAAAGTATTTTATTCTTTATTTTCTTTTCCACAAACATTTATACTAGTGTTGTTGCTCTTTTTGATGCTTGTAGTATTACTCACATTATTAATTTTAGCATCGTTTGTATTACTTGCATGCTACCCGCTTGAGCTTCTTTATCTGTTAAATTAAATGATTTATTTCTTTAAAAAAATTAGAATTATTTTAAAATTACCTTGTTGCTAAATTAAATTCTTAGAAAGTAGTCAAAGGTTTGTTTGATTTATAAACAATAAAAGGAACCTAAAAATTAGGCATTTTCTTAGCTTTGAATTTAGAATTTGATCTTTCTTAAGACTACTCTGTCCGAGTAGTTCTATTTTGACTCAGATTAACATTATTAATTCCCTATATAAAGCTACTTCTTTATGTATGTCTATGTGCTAAATCCGCAGAAATAGAACTTTTTCTAGTTTTGCACTAGCTACTTGCCTATGATCTTTAAGTAATTGTTTATACTGCATGGCACTAATTGATTTAGGATTAGTTTAAATCTTTTATAGTTAAAGAGGGTTTTCTAGACTTCTAAAAGCTTAGTTTTTGAAAGCTTTTAGAGTTGCTATCACTCATTTCTGCAGTATCAATTATATTAACTGATAAATGATGATAAGGAGTTTTCTTTAAATGTTTCATATTACTATATACAATTTATTTCTTTTTAGATGCATTCCTTTCTGGTGTAATACTTGACATACTTTAATGAGAAATATATTTTGGTCCATTTATTTAATTTCTATTTGCTGAGTGATTTATTTTATTTGCTTCTTTATTCATAGTCTTTTTTTAATCAAAATTTAGTTCAGAAGAAGCTTATGTTTATTTTCTTAGAAAAAGTGTAAAAAGATTGCATTCAGGCAGTTTATCTTTGGGTAATCTAAAATTATTTTCGCTAGATTTTTGTCTTAGCATTTTAAGTAAGCAAAGAAATATTCTTGATGAGGTATTTCTTATAGTCTTTCAAAACGAATTAGGTTATATTGTTATCTCTTTTAAGGATTAATTAATTAACAAATTTATTAAAAGATATATAAAGTATTAATCAGTTATTACTTTCTTTTTTGAACTTTGAAAGTTAACAGCAAAATTACAACAAGTTATACTCATTTCTAGCTGACTTATCTTTATTTAATTAAATTTTAATTTATTTTAATTATTCTAATTTATTTAAAAATGTTGATTTTGTTAGGTTAATAATAAAAAATTAATTTATTTTTAATATATTTTTTTTATTAATTAAAACTTTATTCAAAGAATTATATTTTTAAATGTTAAAGATTACCAGTTTAAATAGTTTTTTTTAATAAATTAGAATTATTTCAAAAAATTAAATTTTTAATTTGTTCAAGTTTTTTGATTTAAATAAAATATTATCAACTAACTAATGATGTGTGAGTTGATTAATATTTGTTATTGATAAAAAATTATTCACAAAGTATTGATTTAAATATCCTAATTTAACGTATTTGCTAAGTATAAAAAAATTGTAAATTTAATTATATTTTCTATTTGCTTTTATTTTAAATATAATTTTAGCCTTGCTTAAAAAAATCAATCAAAGTAAAAAAATAAAAAATAAAAATAGAAGTATCCTGATAAAAAAAAAAACAAATCAATAATGTACGTAAATTGAATAAATAACAATATTTTTCTTCCCTAAAATTTATTTGAAAAATAATTAAAAGCTTTCAGTATTAGACTGTAGAATTATATTTAAAAAAGATGAGATATGATATAAAGATTTTGCATTAAATCTTATTATATTTCTTTAATTTATAATTTTATTTTAAAATGAAGTAGAAAGAATCAAAATAAATTTTGTTGAAGTTATTAATTATAAATTATCTTTTTTATTATTAAAAAAATGAAATAAAATTTGATTTTTCTTTCTTTTTTTTTGAGTGATACTAATTAAAATTATTCTATATAAATACCAAGTATTTAGATTAGTTAATAAGAAATCTGTTCAGCTTAACTTTTATGGCGAATCAAATTTTTCTACTACCTTAGATTTTATTTTAGAATCTAAAAATAAATTGTAATAAAATAGCTACTTATGACGCCAACAAATCAGGTAAAATGATCAATTCACTATTTTTATTTTTGAATAAATTTTAGAGTTAAAGATGACGCTTAGTTTTGAAAATAAACAGATAAACAATATTTTATTTTTAAAGTTCGCAATCTAACAAAAGAATAAATAATAAAGTTATTGTTTTTACAGCTGATTTAGAATTTAGAAGCTATTTTGTTTTTTAAACACGAAATGTTTGTCGATATTTCTTTGTTTATGTCTGTACTAATTCAGCTTGATTTTCTTGATATCAAATCAATTAGCATGCACATACAACACTTTTAATTAAAAAGTAAATACTACCTACTCAGGTAACTTGAAAAACTAACAAAAAAACTTGATTGCAATAATAGGAGAATTTATTAAACAATTCATTTTTTTCAGATAGATTACTTTTAGATTGTTAATTTTCATTCACAACTTTTCAAGTTAAGGCATAAAAAATTGAAAGAAGTATAGTGTGTATTATTATTATTTTTATGCAGAATTAGTAAAAAAAATTAAAAGAAATAAATATCAAACAAATCCGTAATAATAGATAAATTCAGTAATAGCAATATAGATAAAGATTTAATAGAGAGTACTCAAAAGAAATGGGAAGTAAACCCTTAAAAAATTTAAATAAATAAGATTAACAATAGCTTACTTACTTACTTACTTAATTACTCTAAGTGATTAGATATTTATACAATTATTAATTAATAAAATAGATTTATGTTCTGAGTCAAGAAGCGTATCTAAAATTGATTATTAAAAGCCTTCAGTTCAGTACGAATAGGTCTATTGCAAGACTACATTCTCTATACTTTAAGGAAGCTTCCTCTTCCATTAAGCAAACATTTTGGGTATATATTTAAAGAGATATGCTAAATTTAATAGTTGACCCTAATTCCTATTTTCATTTTAATATTTATAAAAGTGAATGCGCATTAAGCTCCTTTTACACTATCACCTATTATGAAGTATGCAAAGTAAACAATTTATTCTAAACAAACATTACCCCAAAGAGCTTTTTAATGAATAGCATTTTTAATTTCATACTTAACTTAGATAGTAATCTATAAATTTAATAAAAAGACTTAGTACAGATGTCTCATCAAAATAAAATCGTAACAAATTATATTCATTTAGTATTCAGATTCAAAGGAGAAATCTTTTAGTGAAGAAAGATTAGCTCAAAAAAAATATTCGTTAGTTAGTTACTAAATCATTTATTTGTAAATGAAATATTAAATCTAGCTCCATAAGGAACTGTTGTCCATACAGATAATTCTGGTCAGTTAAAGTATCCTCATATATTACATCTATCTCTACCCTTCTGGCAGAGCTGTGAAGATGTAATTAATTTCCTTATATATTAGTAGTTATTTATAGTATAGATTATGAATAGGAAAAAGAATTTATTTTTTATTTTAAGGGAGAAGTTTTGATTGTTTTCATTTTGAATACAAACATAAATATAGTATGAATAACATTTTTTTATAATAAAAGGTGACAGAAGTGCAAGCCAAGCTATATGAAATGTATAAAAAAGTGTAATTAAATATTCAAAGATTTTTAAGCTAACTTAAAATAAACAATTTTTAAAAAAAACCCCTATAGCCTCTAAAAAGCTGATCAACTAAAGTAAGAATCTATTTTATTTACTGATCTTACTCTTCCTCCTATGTAGATACCTATTGGTTTGCATGCTGAATGCTTGATTGGTGCTGTCACAGTGTATATATCTTTTTAAATCAAATAAATACATATCTTTATTTTTATTTTAATAATCCTATTTTTTGCATTTATCATCAAATATTCACTTTGCTATTTTTTCTCCTATTATAATTTCTTTAATAAGATTTTTTAATTTACTAATTTAATAGATACATAGAAGAAAATTAACATAAGACAGGATTAAAGCATATTATTTTTATAAATCAAGAAAGAAATAAGGTAATTGATAAAAAATCTTTATTTTAAGCTAATTAATTGAAAAATACCAAACAATTTTAGTCTAGAAAATAAAAACTAGCATTTTAATATGACATAAATTTTAGCTTAAGCAAGTTACTACCAGATTAAATAATTAATATTTATTCATACTAAAAATTAATTAATTTTTTAGAAAGACAAAAAAACATTAAATATGCATTTTAATTTTATCAAAAAAGAAATTGAAAAATTAAGAAAATAAATTTTGTTACTCTTTGGAATTAATAAATATTATCTTCATAATTTTTTTAGTTTAATTTTTAACAAAAAGTTTCTGGATTTTATGCAATTCTTTTATTAAAAAAAAAATCAAAGAAAATTAATTAAAAGAATATTAACTTACATTATAAAATATAGATTCAAAGATATACCTATTAACTATAAAGTAAAATGGTAGGAATGAATGAAAATTCTGTTAAAGATAAAATTAGAAAAAGTATATCTGATATTTGTGGATATAATAGTTTATAGCACCACAAAGTATAGCTAGCTGACGAAAAATCACTCCAAGGAAGCTAGGCAACTAAAAACATGTGTGATACAGAAGGAAGTACAGTAAATCACTCCAAGCATTAATTAGGTTTAATAGCTGAATAAGATATTGGTATTTACTTTTATTTCATATTAAAAAGCGAATTAAATTAAAAATTTTAATTTTCTAATTTTCTGGCAATTATTTTTAACAAAATAAATTTTTTATTTTATTAATTTCTATTTTTTTGAGAGTAAATTTCAAGGATAATTTTAAATTGATCAAAGAAATAAAATAATTAAATTCAAAAAACAAGATTAATTAACATACTTAAAATGAATGAATCTAACAATATTCATTTAATAAATTAATTAGAAAGGGAAGATTTAGAGAATGAATATAACAACAATGTTGAAGAGGAAGAATAATAATAAAAAAAGTTAATGTATCAAGATGATTTTGGGGCAGATGATTTAATTGATTCTCGCCACTACAACTAATTGTAAACTTAACCAAAGTAATAATAATAACAAGAATGAAATTAATAATAATAAAAAATATAAAAAGCACATATAAAATGACTCTTTAATTATAAAAAATTAGTAACAGAGCAAAATAAATTTAACAAGAATATATCAATTAAAAATATTTATAAAGTTTATCTATTAAAGAACCACTAATAAAAAAATATATTAAAACTGACTATCTTAGCTTTAAATTATAATTTATTTATCAAATTAACTAATATTGCCTTATGATTTTTCTAAATAAATCATAATGAATGTTTATAAAAATAATCTTAACAAGTGAAATATAATCAATCAATCAATAATTTATAAAAATTTATTACATATGTTTATATATTATTTTATTTTTTAAACTAAGTTTAGTTCAAATTTATTTTCCCTTTTATAATTTGCTTTCTTGGTATATAATAAATATTTAGAGCTTTAGAAGACTTATTGAATCTTCTATTTTTAATGAGAGTTTCACTTATTTTAATTTTGATGCTAATCTGTCCTCTCTTAATTATTTAATCTTAAATACAATTCAGTTTTTATAGATACGTGCTAATCATGAATAGCATAAATTGATTAAACAATTGAATGTTCATCAAAAATATTATTTTGAGAATTTTGTATAATTTGCCCAAAAAGTTACCTTTACACTTCTACTTCAAAGCTTATGGTCTTTACTTTTGATTTGTCAATAATTTTACTTTTAAATATAAAAACATTATTTTCTTCATCTTAGGTATATTTTTCATTAAATATCTAAGTTATCTTGAATACGTCACTAAAAACAGGGTTTATTCTTAATTCAAGTAATTGATCAGCTTAAATTATATTTAAAGTCTATTACAAAATTTCTTTACAAAAAGATTTTATTTAAACAAGCTTTTCTTTATTTTCAGAATTCTTGTAAAAATTTTATCTTGAGCTATGAAGATTTTCTTCATCATTTTATTCTACTATGTCTGAAAGGTTATTTTTAGTTGCTTTTTACTCTAATTTAGTTTTTTAGTTATTAGAAGCTTCACTTTGCTAAGAAAATTACTAATTAATATTTGATTTTTGGCTTGATGGTTAATTTTAATCTTTACTCTATTAATTACTATTTAGTTGATCTTAGTTTTGAGTTTTTTAAGGGATATTTTATTACTAATTTTATTTATTAACTTGTTAATTACTTTGATTACTATTTTACTTATTATCATTTTTTGTGTTGCTATTATTATTTTGAGATTTATTTGGGCTATCTGTATTTTTATTATTTGGAATCTACTGATTATTTACACTTTACTGGTCTTTTTGAACATTTGTGCTATTTTGGTCTTTGTGGTTGCTTATGTTTTATTGATCTTTTTGAGCTTTATCCATTTACTAATTATTATAATTTTTTTGAGGACTAGGATGCTCTAAAGTGTTACAAAAGTCGAATATATCATCATATTAGCCTAATTGATTCAGCTTAGAAGTAGATTCTAAACAAAAGTATTTAGAAATTGTGGATGTTTCTTCAATTTAATTATATTAAACTTAAGGTGAATTTAAGAATGATAAATTTTATGAATTTTTTAATGTCGATTTCAAAGCATGAGAAGAAATTTGATTCTTGAGATTTTAGTTAACTTTTTGATAAACAGAAATATTTTAGCTATCCCCAAAAACAAAAATATGAGAGAACCTACTTTTATTTTCTTTTTGTTAGATAATTTTATAAGCATGGAGTAATAAGCTATACATCGATGACTAAGATACTGTTGGTATTCTTTCTAGTATTTTTAAAAAATGCTTTCTATTTTCAGTATTTAATTCTTGAAGCTATTCGAAATCTTCTGAAAGATTATTTTAAACAAGAAGACACACTTAATCTTTATCATCTAATTCTCTAAGCAAATGTTTGATAAATTCAAAGATCTACCAATATTTACTATTCATAATTTTATCTACATTATCTATTACAAATATTATATCTATGAAGTTTGACGACCTCCTTCTAAGTTATGATAAATCGGTGTTTTTTATTTGAATTTGGCATTCCAGTTTAACTTCATGACCATCCTTTACTTACTAAACGATGTCTTTACTATTGCACTGCATGCAAACTTCCATCTTTAAATCTTCATCATCTTAGCATAGCACTGTATTGTCTTAGTTGATCTAACTATTTATTTCATTTGTTTAGTTTTTAGAATCACTATTAAGAGTTCCAAGCTATTTGCTATATCTCCTTTATCTAATTTTACTTTATTCGCTAGCTGTTTGTAACTTATAATTTGTTAAAGACTCATCAAATTTATATTCGAGAATTTCATTCTCTGTTTTTTTTCTTCCTAATTACTTTTCAAGCAAACTCAGTTTTTAAGAATAATAAGTGTGAGTCAGGTCAAAAGCTTTTTATTTAGTTTCAAAAGTTTCTTCCTTTTAAAGGTTATTGTGACCCAAAATTTCTTTATATCTTCTTATCAAATCTTTTTTAAATACTTTACTATTCAATGCCTCCTAGTTATTTTTATCTTTATTATTCTCATCCACTTAACTCTCATCAAAGTCATCAATAATATGTTTTTTATTTTTTTCATATGAAGCTTTTAAAGGGCTTGCTTATTGAGATGATCTCACACTTCTCATAGGCACATTGATGCCTCTTTTACTTAGCATAAACTTTTTATAATCATCTGAAATTTCATCTTTATTTCTAATTTAATTTTGTAATTATTAGCTACTGTTTGGTGAAGAATTTTTAGCTTACTTTTATTTAATTTTACCTTCTTATACTGATTAATTATCATTTAAGTTATTGAGTTGAATTATATTTTAGTCCAAATGAATACTATCTAATTTGTTTTCATTTTTTGAACTTTTAGTCTTATTAATAAAATTTACTTGCTTTTAATATTCTTAATCTTATTCGAAATCATCAATCTCAGTCATTTCAGTTTTATTTAATCTAGACTGCTTGTACTTATAGTTTGGTGTTTTGAGGGAATTCAATTTAAAATCTGTCTTTCTTATAGATTCATCTGTTGAATCTTTTGATTATCTCACACTTTTAACTCCTGAAAAGGAATGCTCTCTTTGCTTTGAGCTATGATTATTCATGATAGGATCATCAAAATCTTTATCATGATTATCTAATGTCTTATTTCTTTTTTTACTATTGCTTGTTTTGTGATATTCCTCTTCAAGTTCCCTTTTAAATTCTGAGTTCTTTCGAACTTCTCTAAGTATCTTTTAGAAAAAATCATATGATGCATCAACTCGCTCTTTGATATTTAATTAATTTTCAGAGTCAGAATTTTCATTGTTTTTAAAACCACTTTAATCTCTCTCCTTAACTATGGAGGGTAACAAAATAGTCTATTTTTAATCATCCTAATATGTCCTATTTGTATCTCTTTTACCTGGAATATTATCATAATTATCTAGAGCACTTTTATAATATCTTTTTTAATATTTAGAATCGCTATTTATAGTAGTTTATATTTGATCATCAAAATCTAAATCCTCCTTTTTTTATCTAGGGATATATTTATATGGAGATTAGTAAATAGAATTTTTATGAATTGAAGAATTAGGAGAAGTCTATAAACTCTTAGGATATATCATATAGGTGTTTGAGTTATTTATTTCTGTAGGTAATTTTATATGACCATTTGTTCTAAATGAAGCCTAATTAGGGGAAGAATTTCTTGTTGAAAAAGAGTTTTTATATTCATTTAAATATACAGCATAACTACCCCCATTAGAATTTTTATTTAATTTTCTGCGAGATTTATAAAATATGTTGTTGTAGTTTCCAAGATTCATGACTTCTTCCAACCTATTTTAATTTTTACTAATTATTTTACAATACTATTTAATAAATAAAGTTAATATATTAAAAATAATAAATTTAATTGGTGATCAAAATATCTCTAAATCAAGTTATTATTTCATTCTTAAATTGATTGGCTAAGTTTCTTTAAAAATGACAATAAATTAAAATAAAATTGAAGAACAAAAGCCACAAAAATTTTTGTTACAAAAGTAAATTAATAAATTTACTTGAATTTCAAAGATTTGGTATTCAAAAATGAATATCAAAATGATTACTATTATTTAGTATAATTAAAGATAACTAACTATACATAATAAATAAATAACAAACTATTTTAATTGCATAAATTATTATCTTTCTCATTTATAAATAAAAAAATTTAAATTAAAATATTTAAATTTATATCTATTTTATATTCTTTAAAAGAAAATTGAAAGCAACTAAATTTAAAAATAAAACTAAAATAATATTTGTTTATTTAATAAATTTTATAATATTAAATTTTATCTTATTTAATAAACATTATATTTAATTAAAAAAGAGATTACTACTTAATTTTATCAAATAAATTTATCAAGTTATTTTTTAAAATAAAAATAAAACAAGATAAATCTATTTCTTTATTTATTTCTAAAAGAATGTAGAAAAGTTTAGCTTAAATTTTTCAAATCTAGCACTCCAATATTCCATAATTTATTTTTACTTTATCATAAAATTATAATGTATTATATTTCTTTTTCTATAGTAGTAACCCCAAAAAATTAAAAAAAGTTTTAAATTTTGATTTTTAATAAATTAAACTTATTTTCATTCAAAAATTTAAAAACAAATATTCTTTTATTGGTTTAAACTATTTTGTTTTATGTATTAGAGAATCTTAAATATATAAAAATAATTTCAAAATATGTTTTCGTATTTTAAGGTAAGCTTGAAATTTTAGATTACTTTCATAATTAAATTCATAGAATAATATATTTTTTTGATAATAATTTTATTAGAGCAATCCAATTTATTTATTTTTAATAAATAAAGATTATATGAAAATTAAATGTGTCTTAAACAAGTCATAAATTATTTTTTCTTTTTAAAATAATTATTTTCCAAGAAAAAATTAAATTAATATCCCTAAATTCTTTAATAATATGTTTTAATTTTTTGTATCTAAAAAAGATTCAATTCCAACTCTTAAAAGTGCTTTACTCTTTTAGTAAAATTAAAATTAATGAAAAAACCTATAAAAAAAGTCAACAAATTTATTAAACTTGTATTTAGTAAAACTATTATTAAATAATAAATAGGTTTATTGTAATAAATGTTTTTTGTTTCATTAAAGAAAATAAAAATTTTGAATAGCAGAATATATTTTGAAATTTGAAATTAATAGAGGGATTTGGATTTATTATAAATTAATTAAATTATTTAAAAAAAACACATTATAAATAAATTAAAAATTAGTTTTTGATGAAAAAACATTTCTATTATTGTTAATTTTTTAAATTAAATAGGAGAATATTGGTAAAATTTATTTTAATTTTATATACATTCTAATAAGATAAAATGGAATAACTTTATTTATTTTATTAAAATACTATTTTAAAATTGTTTTTCCTCAAGGATAAATTCTAGTTGATTAACTTTAATAATTTAATTTATCAAATTTTAAAATCATAAGTTCTATTTTGTAATTTTTATGCAATTATTTAGTTTTATAACAATAAATCACCTTTTCTTCCTGTCATTTTAGAAAAATTAGCTAAAGTTTTTGTGTTTTTAAGAGGTATCTTATCTATTTCGTAGTCTAAAAGTACATGCTAAGCAGGATATTGCTCGAGATTCATTACTGTCTTACGTGGGGAGGATTTAGATAAATTGACAAGAATATTATTTACATTTTTTTCTAGTAATTTATAATTTTGATTATAATAGCCTTAGTCAGGAGATCTTTTATCTGCTTAAAAGAGTTACTTTCTACCAACTTAAGCTGAAAAATCTCTTATTTTCTAAATTTGATGCTATTAATTTATATAATTTTCTCTAATTAAGTCATGTGTGAATACTTCGTTACTTGTATTACGAGGGGTAAATAAGGGTTTCCTTAAGGAATATTTACCAATTTAAGGGATATTAATTTATTTTTATTTTTATCTTTCTTATGTTTAATTTTATTCCATTTCTTCTAAAAAATTTAATTAGTTGAATTTATATTCTACTTTTTTTTTATTATTATTTTTGCTTTCAGCATTCGATTAATAGCAAGTAGTGCTTACTGTGGAATTGAAAACATTTCTTATTATGATATCTTTGTTTTTTAAATTAGGAGACTCAATAGCAGTTTACTTTAAATCCCTCTAAATATTAAGTCTATCAGGAGAAGTATTTCTACTATTATTTACACTTAAAAAAGCTCTATCTCTTTTTGAAGAATTTTGTAATATATGAGAATTTAAAGTATTGTTTAGTTCTATTGGTGCTTTTCCTTTAGGTGTTTGATACTAATTTTTAGTATCTATATTAGGATATAATTTATTTTAATTGGATTCATCAATTTCATTAATGTATTTTGTTAGATTATCATTATAATCTACATTAAATTAAGCTAATGATTGAGAAAGCTAATCAAGTTTTACTAAAGGATTTTTATTACAAACCTAAACTATTACATTAGGGTCATATGGCCTTGGTTATGGACTTTTTCTTTTTATTGAGAAATTTTATTATTTAGATATTATTGCATTTGGGGACTTAGCCTTAATAGGACTCAAATCAATTTAGTACTTAAATTCATAGCTTTTTTCAGGTTACTTTGCCTTTATCCAGCTAGGTAAAGTATTTCTCTCTACTGATTTAAATACTGCCATTTCTTTCCTTTTTCTTTTAAGTTTCCTTTATAATTTTAAAAGATTTTCTTAGCTATTTTCTTCTTCATCTATGCTAAAGCTATCATCTTAATTCCAAGTTGCATTTAAATTCATATAGTTTCCATCTATACTAGCTGAATTTTAATTCAATGCTGAAATAGGCTTAATTTTTTGGTTTGGATGCTTGCTAATTGAATATTTTGAGTTTTCTGATTGCTAATTCTTTAAGAAATCTAAAGAAAACGGAGTGTCTATAAAGGCTTCAAATTATGATTCTTCATTCTTTTATTTTTCATTCAGATTCTATCCTTCTGCTGATTTCAATGGAGAAAAAACTAATTTATTGATATTTCTACCTAACTTCATATAATTCTTTCCCTAAAGAGAGTGACTTTTACCTTAGTTTTTACTTTGCTAAGGATTCAAAGACTTAGACATCTAATAATGATTGTTATTGAAATTAGTTAATATAAAATTAATAATATTTGATTGGTCAATATTTTATTGATCAATATTAAGTGCAAAAAATATTCTATAAGATCTGATAAACTTATATTTTTAAAAACTCAAATCTAAAAACACAAAATAAAATCTTATAAAATAATTCAAAAATTTTCATTTTATCTCTGCTAAAAGTTTACAAAATAAATATTTAGTTTTTTAAATTTAAAAATTTTTTTTAAGTTTTAGGGTTAATTACACTAAAAAGCAAATTTTAGGTTAACCAAGTATACTCTTTAAATAAATATTCTTATTTGGCAAAAGATTATTTTTTATTTTAAGATATTAAATAAATTAAATATTTTTCTGGATAAAATATTAGTATTGCTATTAATGTTCTAACTAAAAATTTAAATTTTATTAAATTTTGATTTAATTTAATTTATAAAATTATAATTTTTTCAAATAAATTATTGAGAGAAAAATCTATTTTTATCTATAGTCTGTGAATTATTCTGAGCTAAATAAGTTTATTAATTAAGATTTAAAATCAATTAAAATTAAATAAGCTATAACATAGATGGGTAACCACATTCCAATAAATTTTGAAATATCGCACAATATTTTTTTCTTAGCAATATATCATTTCATGCCTGATTAAATTTTATCTATTTTATTGCCAATTAAATTTTTCAAAAACTTATAGATTTTAAAAGTTTTAAATGATTTTTAAATAAATTATTTTGAAATTATAGGATAATTTAATTAAAATTATTTATTTGTTTTGTAATATTTACTTGTAAATGTAAAACATTTAAGGATTAACAATTTTACTTCACCGAATTATAGCAAAATATTTTTTTTTAAAATAATATTTAGGCCTAAACTTTCTAAATGTTTTAATAGTTTAATTTAATTAATGAAAATTACAAAATTTTGATATCTTCTTATAAATAACTAATTTTAATTAAAATGTAATCAAATTTTTTCTCAAGTTGAGTTTGTTTTGAGTACTCAAGAAATTTTACAAAAATTTTTTAAGCAAGTAATAAATCTAAATTTTTTTATCAAACATTGAATCTTGAATTAAATTTTTTTACACATTAAATGAATGAAAAATTTTATCTCAAAATTAAATGTTAGATATAAAAATTTAGATAGATTTACCTTTTAATTATTTTAAGATTTTCTTTTAAATTGTAAAATAATATTTATTATTCTAGAATAGCTATAAAATAATTATGCTTTTGAATAAAATAAATTAATAAATTATTAACAAAAATCATTAAAAAAAGGCTAAATTAATTTTTAAATCATTTTAAATGAGTTGTTTAGAAAAAATCAAATTAATTATTTATACTTTTTTATATATTTACAATTGATTTGATGCTAAAAAATATCATTCAAAATTTAAAACATTGTTACTATGATTAATAATATCACCTATTTTAAATGAGACTGTATAATTAATCCATGAATTTTGTGTAAATATTATATGATATATAAATAGAATATTGATATAAATATTAAAAATATTATCTATATATTACTGTAGCTAGCTATATATGAATAATCTTATCTTCAAAGATTATAATTTATAATTCTAAATTAAACGAAAAAAGTTAAATAAAGTAATTAGAATCTGAAAATTTCAAAAAAAAAAAAACAAATTATCAAAAAAATTAATTGATAAAAAGTACATTATACACAAGAAGTAAAAGAATAAATACTAAGAAAAGCTATTTGACTAGATATTGAATAATACATAATCATTATTAAAAAAGGAAATATTGTTGAAAAAAATATATCTATAAATCTTGAAGTGAACACAAAATAAATAAACAAAAAGAAAAAAATTTCAAAATAAATTTAGCTGAGATGGACACGGAAAATAACTAGTTTATGAATTATAACAATCCTGATAAGAAGATGGTTATAGAAGATTTTTTTATGAAAGCAGTATTGGGAAAGGGTAGCTTTGCAAAAGTTATTTTAGTTAAGAAAAAAGATAATGGAAAGTTTTATGCAATTAAAGTATTGAAGAAATCCAAGCTTGAAAAGCAAAGGCATATTGATAATGTTATTGCAGAAAGAAATATTTTAGTAGGTGTGAACCATCCATTTGTCATTTAACTTCATTACTCCTTCTAAAACAGTGAAAAATTATACTTTGTTCTCGAATTTTGTCCTGGAGGAGAGCTTTTTAACTTACTTCATAAAGCATAGAAATTTACAGAAGACTAGTAAGTATCTATTATTAGCTCTAAAATCAAGCAAATAACTATTATTTTTCAATTAAATTTAAAAGGACACGCTTTTATATAGCTTAGATTGTGCTTGCAATAGAACATCTTCACTCATTGAACATCATATATAGAGAGTAAATTAAATTTAGAATTAATTTAAGATATAGTTGTTTGTATATGTTAGTAGAGGAATTTATTTTTTACCTGAATGCATCTTTTTAATTATAATAAGCATACTTTCAGTGTATTTAGAGAAATAAATTATTTTATAGCAAAGGAATTGACAAGCTCTTCTAAATTATAGAAAAGTTATTGTTATATTTTTTGAAAAATTGAAAGAGCAAACATAGCAATTTATAATAAATTAAAGAGTATTGAAATGTGTGGATAAAGAGTAACAACGTAGTAGGTTTACATTTAAAAGAAAAGCATATTAATAATATTTACAGATAGATTAGATAATAATTATTTCTTTTATAATAGTCTTAAACCAGAAAATGTAATGATTGACTTCGATGGTTATATTCGTATCACTGATTTTGGTTTGTCGAAAAATAATATTAGTAACCATGAAAAAACATATTCTGTGTGCGGTACACCTGAATATTTAGCACCAGAAATTCTTACAATGTAAGGGCATGAAAAGTCTGCAGATTGGTGGTCATTAGGTAAATAATTGATTAATTTATTAATTAATTAGTTTGTAAGTATGTATGTATGTTAATTAATTGATTTTACATGCAAAATAATTAATTAATTAGTTTGTAAGTATGTATGTTAATTAATTGATTTTATATGCCAAATAATTTAATATATAAGCATATCTAACAAATTGATCATACTTTAAATACTTGTGGTGACTTACTTACACTTGAAAATTACAGAATTTATTTATTTATTTAAATTTAATTATTTAGGTGCACTTATATACGAATTATTAACTGGATTGCCTCCATTTTATAATCAAAATAGAGAAGTAATGTATGAGCTAATTAAAAATTAAAATGTGAATATACCTGATTATATCTCTCCTATATGCAAAGATCTAATATACAGACTATTGTAAAAAAATCCAGAAAACAGACTTGGTAAAAATGGAGCATTTGAAATTAAAAATCATCCTTGGCTTTAGGATGTTGACTGGGAAATTTTATTGAGAAAAGAATACAGACCACCATTTATCCCTATCCTTGATAATATTGTTGCGAATTTCCCTGTTGTAAGATTTCATGATTTAATATTTTTTTGTAAATTTAATTTAAACAATTAAATAAAAGGATTTCACTCAATAACCTATTGATTCTGTTGATCCATTTTAAAGTGTTAAACAACTTAATTAAAATAACAACATCGGAGGTAATAAATAAATTTTATTATATTATTTCATAATTACTGATCTTATTGCAATTACTTATTTTTTATAATAAATAATAGGTTTCACATACAATTAAAGTTAAAATAGAGAAATGGATTTCTAGTGATGAAGAACACCTCTTTTAAGGGAAAAGAAATGTAAATAAATGAATAAACAAAGAGAGGAACCAGTAGTTATAAAAAATATTAAATAACACTCAATTGGAATATAAAGCTGAGACATTTTTATAGAATGTCTCTTCTTTAAAAAAAGCATTTATCAACTAATTGATTGATATAAAAACAAAATTATAATTAAATTAAAACTAATTCTCAAAATTTCTAACATCAAAAATTAAAATTATAATATAAAATATATTTTAAACAAAAAAAAAACAATTAAATAACTCAAATAATACGCATTTATTTTTTACTCATATATAAAGCATAGATTCATACTCTTACTACTTCTCTGTCGTTTTAAATAAAATATTTCTCAACTTTTCCAAAAAATTTAAATATAATTTAAAACAAATGTTCAAATTAATTGAATTTTTTATATGATTAACATCTATTTCTTTGAATTTGCTTGTCTTTATCTTTATTGAATAACTATTTTAGATAGAAGGTAAAATTTGTTAGAACAAAAAGATTAATTAATTGATAAAAAGAAAACAATAATTTCGGATTAGTTTTTTACCTATAGAATCTTCTCATATAAACATAGTAACTAATATTAATTCAAATCAAATTTAATAAAAATGGATGCAAGAAAGTAAAATGAAATTTTAGCTGAAGCAGAAAAGACTTGCAATGAGCGTTTTCCATAAATATAAGTAAAAATTTTTAAAAATTTCGTAAAACATATAACAATAATTATTAATTTTTAGTATTGTCTATCATTTGATATGGATCCAAAATATGAAAAACCTTGTATTAAATTAAGCGAACAATATGAAAAATGCTTTGAAGAAGTACAAAAAGAATTAAAAGAAAAAAGAAATTTCTATCGTATAAATTGAATGATATTCGATAATTATTTTTTGTATTTCAAATGTATAATTGAACTTTATTTTTATATAGTTTACTTATAATTAAAATCATCCAAACAATTTATTTTTTATACAATTCTTCAAATATTTATTTTATAAACAAAAATATTGAATTAATTATTTAATTTATTTCTTCATTTTTTCAAAAATCTTATTAAAAAAAAAAAATTGATATTTTATCTAATACTTTTAATTTATTTAATATTTGTTTCTCAAATTTTTATTTTTTATTTTATTTATTTTACTTATTTGCATTTAATTAATATTTAATATTTAATTTTAACTTTTTTGAGTTTTTTATTTATTTCATTTTATTTATATTTATATTTTTATTTATTTAATTATTTTTATTTTATTTATTTTTATATCTTTTATATCTTCATCTTTAATTGGCTATCTTCATTTCTACATAATGATTTGCTACTTAGTTGCTTAAATATGCTTTAAAAATATTTGTATAATAATAGGAAAAAGAAACTGAGTCCTTATTATTCAGGTTTTTAAATCTATTAGATTTTTTTTCAAAAAGAGGTGTTATATGATTTGTTCGCAAGATTTTCCCTACTTCAGCAAACATATGTGATGTAAATAAATGAATTTAAATGCGATAAAAAACTAGGAAGTTATTATAAAGTGGCTAAACTTTATTTTTTCGAATGTTTAAAATGAGGGATTAAAATTCATTTATTTATTTATCATCATCATGTTTCTGGGTTGATTTGCTTTTTGCAAAATTTTTTTAATTTATTTTCTTTTGAAATAAGATTTATATTAATTAATTTTTTTTAAACGTAAATTAAATAATTTTCCTGTAAATAAAAAATAATTAATTAATTCATTCAATGATAGATATGATATGATGGATTTTTTCCTTCTAGATAATGAATATTACAAAATATATTTATAAATATTTACTAATAATTAATTTAAAGTATTATGTAAAATTTTTGGATTTATATAGCTTTTTATTCAACAGCTCTTAATTAGTAAGAATTAGTTTTATTTGAACAAGCAAACAGGATTTTAGTTAAATATATCATAGCATCACTTCAAAAATTGTTTACTATTTTTAAAATGGACATTTTTATAATTAATAAAATTTTAGGTTATTTTACATGATTGAAGGGTAGATAATCTTTTTCTAGTAACTTCTTCTAATTACTATTCAAATGGAACACTTATTCTTTTAGGTCTACTATTTTATGCTGACCAAAGTCTTTGTCGACGATTCAAGTCGGGATTGTATAGTTTAGCTTTTTGGATTTGATCAAACTAAGGAGTTGTATCTTCTCTCAGTCCTCTTAAGAATTTTAAATTTGAGCTGTATGTATAATTTGTTAAACCTCCTGAATTAACACTTTTATAATTTAATTAAAATACAGAAATTAATTTTTATAAAGCCACTTTTTTTGATTAATAAATCTTTAAGTAACACTCTAATACCAACTAATTTTACTAGCTTTTAATTTTCACACAAATGAAATGAAAACTGAATTGGAAAAATTTTTATAAATGAGAATTTTTATTACAGGATATAGTTATCTCTTCCTGATCCATCGGAGATGTAATGAACGACTTTATTATCCGATTATGGTTTATAAGATCTTGGTCCGTTAGAGGTCTTTATATATCTACCTATATTAAATTAAGTTTTATTCAATAACCAATAACTGCTATGTTCACTTTCTATTTTCATTCTTTTAACTCAAATTGTAATATTACTAGGTTGAGGATATCCATAATTTGATTTGGCTTTCACAGTTCCACCATTATCATGCATAATATATGAATCTCTACCTATATTTAAGTTTAAAAATATGTTCTAACATGACTTATTTTTTATTTAGATTTTTAAAAATCAGTAATTTTCAAATAAGCAAATTAAATTTTATTCTAAATATTTAAAAGCTAACCTGTTCCATTAGAGTAATAAAATGAAGTCTTGGGATTAACTCCCATTTATGACCAAAGAGACTTTGACATTTTTTTGTTATCTAAAAATTAGATTTATTATATTTTTTGAGATTAAAAAATAAATTTGTTATTATTAATTATTGGTTTTAATAATCTTGGTTGTGATAAATAGATGAGAAATCATATAATTTTTATTATGATTAGTCGCTAATTTTCTTGATTAAAAACAGAATGTAAATAATTTAGTATTTAGTGTGTTATTATAATTATTACCATCAGTTTTGCTTTTAATATTTAACAGTTCTAAGGAAAGACTTTACTGAATCTTGCTTGAAATAAGACATTTTGTTATTTTTTTAATGAATGAATTTCTGTACTAAAGTAAGTAACATTTCCAAAAAAATGATATAAATTATAAAATGGTTACTAAAAATTTTAAAATGTTTAAACGAATTAAATTAGAATAAAATATTAATATTATGGAATTTACAAAATGGGTTGGTTATAAATACATGCTAATAATACTTAGAAAGGTTAATTGAGAGATAAATAAATACTAGTAATTATTTACTTATATTATCACTATTACTATAAGTTTTGTGTTTTATATAAAATATAGCTTTTAATTATTCACTCTATAAGTTTTAAAACTAATTTTATTATTAATCACAGATAGAGTGACAAATTGTACTTAATTTATTTATACGTTAAAAGTTATTTCTTTATAATCTAGTATTAATTCAAGAAAATTTATAGCTTATTAGTTAATTTTTTATTAATGACTCTAAAGTTTTTTTGCTGTACTATATCAATCTTAATAATTATTTTCAGTTTTTGATTTACTTATAAATGAGTTTGAACTCGTGAAAAATAATGTTAATTAAGAAGGGCTTTTTTGAATTTTTAAAGAGCTAAGAAACACAAAGTTTAATTTTAATATATTTTTTTAATAAAATTATGACTATCTGTTCATCCATTCATTATTACTACTCTTCGGCTTGTTATGCTTAAGCTTATTTAAATTGATAATAGGACAACTCTAAATGCTATAAATATTATTATAATAAATTAATTTATTTATCATCTGCCATATTATATTATGTAATCCACTCGTGTTTCTATTATATAAATATTAAAATGATTAATTTTTAAAGGTATATTTATTATTTTTATTATTTTGTTATTTTGTTAAAATTAATTACCAATAAATCAGAAATATCTAATCTATCTTTTTATTCTTTTGCAACACTATTTATTTATTTAAAGAATATTTTTTAATTCTATTAGAGTATATTATATATGTATATTTAAATACCATTTTTTAACAAAGTCCATCAATGCAGCTGAATATTTGCCATTATCAGGTAGTGTTGGTTCTTTAGATTGCAAGATATTAGAAACAAATTATACAATAGATTTATTTTTAACATCGTAAGGATACAGTCCTGTTGCTAATTCTATAATTACTAAACCTACACTCCATATATCACTTCTTAAACCATACTAATTTCCTATGAGTCTTTCTGGGCTCCTTTATTTTGATAAATTATTATTAAATTAAAAATTGTTCTTTTGATAATTTAATTCATTTTTCTTAATCTATTTTTCTCTTCATCTTGAAATTTTAAATTTTAATTTTTGAATAAATATTTAAAAACATTTCTTACATATATAAAGTAGTTCCTACATACGTCATGCATAGCTATTAAGTTTTTTCCAACTGCTTACTAATACCGAAATCAGTTAACTTTACATTACCTCTCTTGTTAATAAGAATATTTTCTGGCTTTATATCTCTATGAACTTAATGTCTTTCTTTATGCAAAAACTCTAAGCCTTTTAATAGCTATTTTAAGATAAAAAAATGATATTAATATTTTTGATTGCATAATATCTTACTTAAATAACAATAATTGCTAATATTTATTCATTCATAATAGGACCTTCTCCATACATTTCCTTAAGCATATCAATTAGATTTCTAATTGATCCAAAATCCATTAATTCTAAAATTATTTTTATTGTGCCTTCTTCATAATAAGCTCCGAAACATGTGATCAAATTAGGATGAGTATATTATGTTAAGAGAACTTTAAAATCATTAAGCATCTAGTGCCTTTTGTCTTTATCATACACATTAACGGTCTATTGCAATATAAAGTAAATAAAATTTATAAAAGCTATTATTTATATTTGCCGCTATAAATGGCTTATTCATAAATTAATTTTTTGTTAAGTAAATTGATAAATGGAAGAAAGTTAACTTTTTAGCTATTAAATTGATAGAGTTAATATATTTTATTATCAATCCATAATTATTATCGCTTAAATTCATTGAATTTACTAGAATCTTTTATGTTTTTTATCATCAAATTGTAATTACAGAAATGACTTTCTATTCAAATTTGCAATTTTAAAAAATTTTCAAAATTTATAAAAGAAAGAATATTGCTGGAAATAATTTTTTATTGATTCAACTTTTTGTTTTTTAATCTTTGTTCTTATTTATTTGAATTAGAAAGAGCTAGTTAGTAATATTAGGCTTTATCTTTAATCTATGTTATTTTTTTTTTTATAAACTATTTTATTACTTTTATCCCTACAGGGTAGTTGTATGGTTTATAAACACCCTTAGAAACAAAAGAAGAAGCTCCTTAACCTATGATCTATCCTACCTAATTATTAAAACAAAGATATGTATTAATAAA